GCGCTAATTGGGATCCCTGGATGCTCCTCCGAGTATCACTGACCAACGACCTGGTCCCGCCCGGCTGCAAAAGCAACCCTTCAACCTAGAGCTTTCGTCACCTCCCCGCGGGTCTCAAGTATTGCGCTACATGTGGTCCTGACAATCCCAACACGGACTCACCGCATTGATTCGTTCTGGTGAAGAATGCCGTCTTATGATTTCACCACTGGCCTCAATGCTGCAATGCAAGGAGATTTTCACCAGCCACGAACTTTGCACCTACAAGATCAAGGACGACCCGGGGATACGACTGTTTGTTCTTAAGAATAAAAACATTCTTGTACCGCACTATTCCACGTCAGCATAGCTGGCAGCAAAGACAGCAGCTTGCTTTGGAGGAGTGCATCCCGCGCATGCTGGCAGCTCAGGCGTTGGGCACCCTCCTCCGGATGTTCAGGAGCCCATGAGTTGCCCTTGCCGTTCCGAGGTCACAAGCATGCCGGGTGTGTACGATCGAAATTCTGATGTCTGATGTGTGCGCAGGAGGATGGACTCATTCTTCGGCAAGAGCGTCGTAATCCTGGGGCAACTTGCGTTCAACAAATGCAGTACGTTTCCGATTCGAAGGCACCATACAAAGCAGGAAGAAACACAGCAGGTTGGCTTGGGCTGCAGACTGCTAAACCCGTCGACGGAATGTCTGCCCGGGCCCTTTAACAATCTCCCTCTGATGATGTTACATCGCCATTATATTGACGGTTTCACTCTGCTGGCTGCCAACTTTGCGCATAGTGTGGGGAAAGATGGTTTCTGTCCTCTGCACATCCACCTCCCAACTGGCATCGGGGGGCAGATGAAAATGCCCAGCCCCGGTTAGTTCGTCTGCCGTTCGCAAGCACTTTGATTTTTTGGGCCTCCTGAATCGCGACCCGCGTGCCATCTCGCAAGACATTGCTGTACATAGTCTTCCGTCTGCACCCCAACCGATGCAACTCAAACTTGCAGGGACGAGTTGGGGCAATCATCGCTGCAACAATTCTAAGCTGTCTGGCGTACATGGCGAGTGTGGAAGTTTCTGCAGATTGACAACGTCTGAGAGTCTGAGCTACCTCAGGCAGGGCCAAAATGGTCTGATGGCGACGCGGCTGGTTGCCCAACTCTGCGCAAGGCCGGCATACGTCTGTGATGCATATGGATGCATGAAGATGTGCACAATCCTTTTTCGAGAAGGGTCAGCTCATACGATGCTTCAAGGAAGTTCGTCGTGGAAGTTGATGTGCTGTGGATCGCAAGCAACACTGACTTGCATCGCAGTAGGAGTACCAACTGAAGGTAGCGGCAGGTAACGGCGAGATCGGGCGAGAATGCGAATCGGCTGAGCAAGGAGATCATTCAAAAATCAAGCTCGACCTCGTGCTTTGAGAATTTTGTGAATCTGTTTTTCAGAAGCGGACGCTGTGGGACATACTCCAGGTTTTGTGGGTCGTCACTCAAAAGTTTCCGGTTTGAGAAAGTTCGGATCTGTTACCTACAAAAGCATGTTTCAACGTCCGCGTTCAAACAGGTAATCACATACTTTCTGGCCTGAGTTTTGGTTTTTGACAACGAGGCACTCTTTTGGAGATTCTGCAGCACTCTACTGGGCTTGCCACGAAGTGTGACCAGACACTGGTCGCACTGGAGTGCAGCTCTCGTTAGAAACCTCCGTAACAGCTCGACATGCTTTGGAACAGTGGAAGGCGCGAGCAGGATCCGACACTCGGATCCGCCGAGGTACAAATCACATCAGCAGGAGGGTTGAAAGGGACAAGGCAAGCCACTGCTCGGATCAGCTGGTGTTCTGACCAAATGCGGTAAACAAAATCGAAAACAGGTAGGAGCAATTCAGAAAAGAAGCACACCAACCCTAGTGAAAAGGAGTGGCTGTTCGCGAACACCCTCGAACCTAGAAGGCATGAGTGACTGCGAAAACAAGCCCAACACCCTAAGAGATGCTGAAGAACCCCCAAATCCCAAAAGGAGTGTCCTGTGGTCACAAACCCAAAACATAAAGCCTACAAGAAAAGGAGTCATGGGCCATGGGTGCCTGAAAAACCACAGTTTGAGGAGTGCGAAGAAACCAACCCCAACTGGCTCGCAACACTTCGTGTCGGCCGAATGCAGGGATCTGCCTGTAAGCTCGGCCGACACTGGCTGAGGGCGAACCAACAAGCGAGTCTCATGTAGGAATACCATGCAGACGGAACAGACGTCAAGGGCGCAAAATCGTGTCCGGCTGGCAGGCACATCATCGCTGTGGAGCCGTTAGCCTTCAGACGTCGGAAAGCTGATTCCTGATGGCACTGATCTGCAGTCGTATCTGCGTTTTTGTTCACTACTAATCAACCCATCGGAGTGCTGGAGTTGCCTATGCTTCTGTTCACTGTTGCCGCTCACCTAGTGTAATCTTTGTGTTGTTGGTCGTGAGTAAAGTCGCCCACCCTCCCTCACTTGACATTCTCTAAGTCAAAGGGGATGGGGTCCTTGCCGGGCTCCTGATGAATCTCGCTCGAGATCGTGGGCACTTTGTGAAGCAGCTTCGACCCATCATTATCGACATATGTCAACATTGGGCGATTGCTGCTCTTGTCGACTATTTCAGGTGCGGTCAGACCATCAGAGTTAACCAGCACACCCTAGACAGTGCATCTCCGGAGACGCATGAACATGCTTTCCTACGGCTGCACTTTGCATTCACTCCACAGCCAGAGTCGTTGTTAGTTGTCATCGCATCGCATTCTGCCCGAAGACGAAGTCGTGCTAGTAACCGGTAGTAGCTGTGTAGGACGAGGGGCGGGAGCAGAAGCAGCTGCTAGGAGCAGCAACAGCAGCAGGAACACGAAGACGAAGCAGAAGAAGCGGAGAGACAGGAAGCAACAGTGCTAAGAAGGCAGAAGTCCATCACCTCTTGCAATATTCGTCGTCGGAGCGTTCGTTCGGCACTGATAATGCCGTGTTTCCGCAAGGATGGCCGACGTCTTGAGACAGTTGGTAGGAACCTTGACCGATTGCGGCCTGTTGCAGCGACCCATTAATTGTATCGATTCGGAGGATGCTTGAAACCTTGCAGCCTGTGCTTGATGCGAGCTAAGGAGGAGTTCGGCGCGACCAAAGCCGTTTCGCCGGAGGAGCCGAAAGACTTCTGAGGTCGACAATATACTATATATATATCTCTCTCTCTCTATGTATGTATGCATGTATGTATGTATGTATGTATATATATATATATATGTATGTATATATATATATACGCGAACATCAACAACATCCACGTTGAAGCACGTAGAGGGAGACTCGGACGGCCTTCTATTGCCCGTGCATATTAACGACAACGGACAGCCAGCTCATCTCCGCAAGAGGCGAGTTTTGCGCACACGACTTAGTTGCATGATGCAGACTGTACCATCGACTAGGACGCCGCCACAGCCGTTGCTGCAGCTACTGGCGGCCGTGGGGCGGATGTGGTGTTGGAGATGGTTGGTCACAATCAGGCAGGCCAGCACAACACCATTCCAGGTCCTGTAAGCTGACGACATGTACAAGTCTTCGGACCTTGGCTGGAGTCACCTGACACGGCTGAGGCCACGATCAACGATGCTTTGGACCTTGTAGCAAAGCGGGGCCGCATGCCTGAAAGGAAGAAGAGATGGTGATCGATACACCTGTCGCGTGTCGATGTCGGAGAGTCGGAAGTTTGGTTCACTAAGTGGTTTGGCTACCCTTGTTCCATGTTTTGATCTTGGGTGACAACACACAGCAAAGGTACGGTGGTTGCATTTGGCGTGCCGGATGATGCAGTCCTTTGGCCACATGCTTGTGAAGCAGTACCCGCGGCGTGCCTCAACCCAGCTGGTCTCTGAGGTTTACGGGACCTTTCAGTTTGCGAAGTTCTTCCGCAAGAACGTGACATTGATGTCGTCTGTGATTCCAGATCCAGGCTCGACATGTCACAGCTCGAAACATGAGGGCAGCCTTGGCAGTCAGCGCTCTGCAGAAGGAGTGGATTTTCCTCAAGCTGTGGAGCTGATTGAGCGAGGCAGCTTTAGCACGGAAGGCCTCTCATCGGCAGTGAGATTTCGCCACTAAAGTCCGCATCTCTCCTTGATGATTGCGAAGCCTTCGGGCTATATATAATCCGATTGCATGCCGAGTTAGGACAGTAGTTCTTGGCAGTCCTCGGCGCATCGTTCTCTGACGCGCGTTCGAACGAAGATGTCTACCACGGCGCCAGGCCTTGTCCATACAAAGCGATTCTCTCTCGAGGCATCTTCACCCATGTCCTCCCACTCGCTGAAATTCAACAAGCTTTCAAGATGGCATCTGAGTTCCTTGGCAGAGGCAGATGGAAGTTCTGATGCAAGCGATGTGGAACGCTAGAACCAGGGTCCAGTACAGATAAGATCCGGCATTGGTGACTGTCTTTCGCAGGGGTCCCAACGGTGTTGCATGTAAAATGCCTTTCAGCTCGGAAGCTGAACTGTAGGCGATACGTGAGCGATCCAATGCGAGGTACCACGAAGATGTGGTGAAAGTAGTCATCGACCTCCAGTGAGACAGAACCAGCTGCGTTCCGTCCGCACACGTGGCAGCAAAAATCAGTTTTTTGTTGTTGCCTTAACTTTGCTTTGCATTTCCGGTTTCTCCCCCCCTCCCTGCATACACACACACACACACTTTGGCTCGGCACGATCTGATGCAAAGGACGATAGACAGGACGAGACACGACCAAGACAGAGTACGACAAACATGTATGTTCACTGAGGCCAATGACGGAAGCAACAGCGTTTGGGGTATTTTGGGCTGGCCATTTTGCAGGTACGTGGATCAAGCGTCCTCGATCCATATCAGTTGTAAGCATGGCCCTCTTCGTTGGACCGTCAACCATGCTTACAAGACGGTCCCCCTGCATGTTCGCTATAACAAAAAAAGGGGCTATTCGCGCTTCCCGTGCGGGAAGGAAGAAATGCTGGCGCATTCCCTGGCGTTCACTGTGCGGAAACAACATTCTGTCAGCGCTACCCGTGCGGGAAGCAGAAACTGTTTGCGCATACCCTGCGGGGAGATACACTTGCAGCAGTGCAGATGCAAACCACCTGATATGGACATGTGATGCATGCAAAGTCAGTCGCCATGTACAGGCGTGTACACACACACACACACACACGCCCTCTCTCTCTCTCTCTCTCTCTCTCTCTCTCTCGCTGCGTTTTCCTATCTTCTCTCTGTCTCTCGCCGTATCTCTCCTTCCCTGCTTGCATCTTCCGTCTCTCTCTGCGTCTCTGCCCCTGTCCCTGTCCCTCCCTCCCTCACTCGATGATGTCATGGCTTGCGGCACGAATCCATGAGTCGGCAAGCAGAGGGTGATCCTACGAATATGCAGATCAAGCATGCGTGCAACGAATGCTTGCTGTATCAGCTCATGCCATGCGGTCAAGCGGGAATTTGGGGAAGACTGCAAGTGGGTATCCGTGCCCTGATTGCAGGAAGCTTAACAGCTACGTGTGGGCCCAAGTTTCCTCAGTACAATGCAGGGCTTGACGTTTCATGCTTGATTTGATCGAATGACTGATCGAAAGTTCAGCTTAAGAGCCTGCCCACGCGAGTTTCTGAAATCAGCAACAGAAATGCCACAAGGATGCCATCATCATTGGTGCAGGGGTGATTGGAAATTCCATTGCGACCGAGCTTTCTCGCAACGGCTGGTGCGGGCCCCATTGGTGGCTGTTGGTTCTGATTGGCAAAAACTTTGCAGCCGGTGCTTGTGGCAAGTGTCAGAGACTGATGTCAGATTCTAGGCCATGACCTTTGACACCTTGCATCAGCTTCTTGCATTGAACCTGGAGAAGCCGAGAAGTGTCCAAACTCGTAAGGCGCACGCTCAACGTCGACAAGCTTCCTGGAGCCGGTCAGGGCTCGACAGGTGCGTACATGGCGCACATTCTTCATTTAGCTCGCTACTCATGCTCCATGCCTTGAGCTGGAAGAGGTTGCTGGCTGTTCTGCTGTCTGGTCACCACAGCAAGTCAACCTCCATTTCTTCCACTCCATCCATGCATCCATGCATCCATCCATCCAGGCTACTCTTCCGGCATTTGCCGCACGATGTGCGAACCTCAGTTCCGTTCCCTTTCAGACGACCTCGGTTTGCAGCTCCGGGTGAACCCATGGGTGCTACGCGATTACACACACCTTCGTCTCTGCCTCGAGCAAGTGAGGTACAGCTTGCTGGATTGCGTGAGATTTGCCTGGGCATCCTGTCCGCAGGTTCAGAACGTGTAGCATGGCCGCAGTCCTGGGGAGCGGTGCTGAGTCGGAGCCTCCGAGCATCTCCGAGCATCTCAGGAGGGCTATACCTACTTCGACAACTGGGAGGAACATATCGGTGTGAAGGCACAAGACACCTGACATGGGGCAATGGCACACCGCAGGTCATCATGTCCGGAACATCTGCAGGGCACATGGCACAGCATGAAGGAGCCCAGCAATTGGCAGGTTGGAAGTGTGTATTGCCGCAGCTGTCCCATTCAAGAGGACAGCCAGCCGACAGCGGTAGCCGACCAGCCGACCATGACTATGAAATTCAATTCAAGAAATCATGCAAGGTTTCGGCAGTGCAGACACCATGCATCAGACAATCAGCCAAGTATAAATTCTTGTGAAAAGCTGCATGAGTGCATCACGTCTTAGATAGGTTAAACTGAACACAGCCATCTTTCACATGGCTGAGAGCATCCTGGACGACCTTGAACCCCGTCTAGGCGCCAGCGACGTTGAGCAACATTGACATGGCTTTGGGTAGTGCTCTGTGTAACCAAAAGCTTGACTAGACAGCCTGCGGAAGATCGTCGCGTGTTGCAGTCATGACAATCCAAGAACTGAGCAGCAGCAAGCTGCAGGCCGGGGCGTTCGGCTTCCCCAGCCCCTGGGCACGGCATGGGCCTGAGCACACCTCGGGTCAAAGTGCTCATCTTCTATAGCCGGGGTTCGATGTCAAGCAAGGGTTTTTTACGACGAGCATAGAGTGGGGGGCGTCTCAGGGCTTGCAGGGTTCCGTTGCTTGCGAGATTATCCACGGGCTGCAAAGTGCACGAGTCTCCGAGTGCATTGCACATTGCAAGCAAACAGTGCATGCCTTAAGCCTTAATTCCTTACCACTCCATTCTTCGTTGTTGCAGACACCTACCTACTTGTATGTGTATATGGTTTTTATATGCACACAGCACAGGCTTATGCATACGTGGCCACATAGTGTGTGTCTGTGTGCCCGCGCTGAGATTCGGCTTTTCCCACTTCTGCCGAAGGCAAGGTTGGAGAATCAAAGCAAGTTGCACTACAGCTTGCAGATGAAGTGTCGGCAATTTGAGCGCAACGGGAGGTCTCAGCAGGAATGCATGTAGTCCGGCCAAAAAAGAAGCATACCTCAGTCAAGAGGGCCAACCAAGTTCTGGCCATGCCGATCCTCAGAATGTGTAACGAGTTGCGGCGCATATGAAGACTCCTGGGCAGAGGTTCCAGGCAGCGGCACGGTGCTCATTCTGCATGGTGAACAACAGGACCATCCATTTGGGCTGTGATTGCGTGCCGCTACAGCAGTGACCGGCCGCCAGTGCAGATTTCGTTAGGATGGCAGCATGCGATGTTCTGAGAGGGGTCCTTTCAGACAGCAGTGATGTCGTGTCTGCATTTTTGGTCGGGATGCGGTCATACTGTGCACTTTACTCTGCCGGCTTGTCGAAGAGTCTGTAGGACCGTAGCACCAGCATTGATTTCTACCAGCAGTACAGTTGACCGTGTCATTGTGCCGCCTCTCCCGTCCACGAAGCTCAGGAGGACTGGCTTGGCAACCGCAGCAAAGGCGAGACTTTCAGGGTCCATCGTCGACCCGTTGCCATCCAGTCTGCAGATGTTCTCGGAGAGCGGGATGCAAGACATTGTCAAAGCTTCAAGCTTCGCAAGCCTGCGCGCTCTGAGACGGGGCCACGCCTGGTGGCGCCACGGCCCTGGGATTGGCATTGCGAGGCCCTCCCAAGCACCGCCTAATTTGTGGAGAATGCTCTATGCTCGGTTGCACTCCCATACACCGGTTGCACTACTCTCTCGGCCAGGCCTCGGTTTCACAGCCGTGTGCCCTGGCAGAAACTTGTGGTCAAATTTTCCTTCCGAGTGACGCAGAAGTGAATTTCGGCATTCCAAGCAGAGCGCCTCGCGGCTTTCCGTTTGCGCTTTGCAGGCTCTTGGATTCCTTCTTCGATGATCGGTGCAACCGTCTCGGGAAGGCCGGTTACGCAACTCTTTCTGGCACAGCGGTTCACGCTCTTCCTGGACCGCAGGCACTCGGCCGCCGAGCGGCTGGGATCGAAAAGAAAAGTGCAGTTCATGGAAATGCCTTCGTAGGACTCTGTGTCTGCGTGTGTGATTGTGTGCCTGACAGCCTGCCTTCCTGCCTGCCTGTCGGTCTGTGTCTGTCTCTTTCTCTCTCCCTCTCTCTGTATCTGTTGGCTGTGTGGAGACGCATGGGAACGGTTTCAAGGCTCCAGGACCCCCTTGCGTTGCCACCTCATGGAACTTGACGAGGTCTCAGATATTTTAGCAGCCTTGGCGTATTTGCAATCCCGCAGCTTGGCACGCATTCGACTGCACACACCTTTTTTGGGTGCGTTAATAAAGAGAAGAGAGCACAAATGGAGGGGAACCGTGTCCTAAACAGGCAATTTTCCTCCTCCTTACCACCTCTACGGCCAGAGACAAGGCCGGCCGTGGAAAGATGAGCGGGGGCTGGCATTAGATGCCCTTAGTAGACTTACGGGAAGGACAGGGGGAGGGAGGCAGAGAGCGGAAGAGAGAGGGTGCTGGAGCCTGTCGTCGGAGATGACAGCGACCTTGGCTGGGTCCTGGCCCAATCCTGTTGCAGATTGAATTAAACATAGCAGCAACAGCGAGTATATGCACCATGTACGGCAATTAAGAAGATGTCACAGGCAAACTTTGCAGGTGCACACCGCGTCGGGTAGGTATGATGGGCCTGATGCCCCTGCATGTTTCATGCACGATTTCCAACAACGCGACACAACGCAACTTTAGTTCTCCGTAGCGCAGATTCGGGAGTGGTCGCGCACACAACCGCCTCGGGGAAGCGGAAGATGCAATTAAAGCATCTGCGCCAAGAATGAACGGCAGTGTTCGAACCAAAAGCAAAACCGAACAGCAACAAAACCCAAAATCCAATGTCACGAGGTGCATACCAAAGCTTGAGGGTCACCAATATTCAACCGGGGTTCAAGCAGCAACAAAGCTCAATTCTATGTTACGTCAAACCCAAAAGGCACCGAGGCACATTCCAAAAGTTTCGAGACGCATCCCGAAATGCCAACAGTCTAAAGACTCGTGTAGTCCTCCTCGACGTCGACATCCACGTGCTCAGAGCAGGAGTCCAGTGCCACTTGCACCTTTGTCGTCTTGCTGGTTGCTGCGGCTCCCGCCCTTTCGATCTTCCACATTTATCGCGATCGGCAGGCCAAAAGTCAGCACGGAGTTTCACACTAAACAGACCAGGTCTGGTTAGTGTTCTACTCCAGCTTGCAAGCAAGAGTCCTTGAGGTGCTCAGGGGAGGGAGAGAGGGAGCGGGGGGACTGAGAGAGGCAGAGAGGAAGAGTTTGTGGCTTGCTGCTGAGGGGCGAAGGCATCAGGAAGATGCTGTCGTTCCATGTCAGGTGCCAGCACAATCTTGCGGCTCTTTGCAGCTTCAGCCTACCGTGATGTTCGGGCGCGGGAGGCGAAACATGGAACAATGCGAAGGGTTTTTTTCAAGCACCGTTCCGATACTCGCTGAGCGGAATGCTGTTTGCAGGCAATCTGGGCTCTGAGCTCCTTGTCGCCTGGTCTGCAATCGGGCCTGAAACCGGTTGACACCATCCAAGCAGTCGCATGCGGCCAACTTGCGCTGCTGAGAGTAAGGTCCTCCTGCATTTGTGAAGGAGCAATGACGATTGACGACGAGGAGTTGCAAGCCCGATATCTCCATGCCACCTTCAATTTGTTTAGCAGTTTAGCGATGCTGAAGTGACTCGGACATACTTGGCCTGGGCGCGGACACCTCATCTGAAGCATGCAGCTCTCCATGAAAGGACCTTTCTCCGCTTCAGCGGGCTTCGGAGCCTCTCGGCCAATCTACGCTTCTACGAGCTACGAGCTCGCTCAAGTTCACATACAAGGCTCCTGGTGTAACAGACGGTGCTGTCGCGAGACCCGAGAAAAGGCCTTGAAAACTCCCGCCGACAGTTAGAAAGCACAGAGCCTGGACGTGTAGGGCTTCCTCTTTCCGGATTGTCTTTCTGACTGCAGGACATTGTCCGTTGTAGCTGCTATTCTATGTTATTCTCCTACATAGCACGGTCATGTAGGCTCATCATCCGTGGCGTTTTTGCATGCCTTACAACATCATCCTCATCATCATCATCATCATGACCCTAACCCTTACTGCTGAGTACTTCCATCACTTCAGGCAAGGCCGCCTGCCACCGTTGCTAATCCTGGCTTCGGAGGCAAATTTGAGGAGAACTCAACACCAGCAAACGGGACAAGAGACTCTTCCGGGCAGGCAGCCGCTCCAGCTGCACAGCTTGCGGCCTCTGCAATGGGTGGGGAGTCTCTCGAGGCTGATGCTGAAAGTGGATGCGTGTGCTGAGCTAAGGCTCAGGGAAAATAGGCAACGGATCCGGATAAGGCTTAAGGTTCAAGCATGTTCAAGCTCCAAGCCGCAGGGTGTTTTGGAGTTTAACTGAACATCTCGACCTCACACTATCGAGGAGTACGAACGGCTTCAGTTAGACGGCCGGCGGCACGTGGACTGCTTGGTCGAGCGCCTCTGCAGAGATCGCTTTGCTTGTGTCCGTGGTGTGGATGCCCTATGCCCTACGCTGTCCATCATATCAGCTTTCGAGTGTGGAGCAAGCTCCGCGGACATGAGACTCTTGGGTTCTTGCTGCACAGGTGCCGTGTTACAGATGGTTCTGTCCGCTGCATTGCACGCACATACACTGCGGCGGCTGGGCTGCGTTGTCACTTCTTTGTGTGATCTACGTAGTCGCATGGATCAGCTGCACGACGCAGCCATGTGTTCTCCGCCAACAGGAGTTGAGTGGTCTCGGTGAGGTCATGGATCAACGCGGGCAGAAGCTCAAAGACGATTCCGACGAGGAAGTGGCCTGGTTAAAGCTGGCACGTTTAACTTTGGTGGAGACGAACACTATTCTTAAGCAGCATGGCTGTGATAGGCATGCACAGAGGAGTGCAGGCACCGTCGCATTTATAAATCTAGCTCATAGCCGCCCGCGATGTCAGCCCACCCCAACACCTGAGGTGTCCAATCACATGTCCACCATGGCACACGCCTGGCTTCAGAGATTCGACCCGGAGATTTGGCAGGAAGCAGGCGGCAAAGCGGGACAGTTACAATCAAGGATTCGAGGTGTCACCGCACCGAGTCGAGTCGAAACATCTGCAAAGTCCTAGGTGACTTGGATGGAGATGGAGATGAATTGGCGGAAGACATGCCTGTTGCACCTTTGTGACACTTTGCCCAGACCTGGTGCTGTCTAGCCCGCTGCATCGTCAGCGCTAGCCTGGACTGTCTCCAGGGGCACAGCCAGCGCCAGAGCTCAGTAGTTCAGCAGGCCAGACTAGCCTTGTACCTGAGAGACATTGCGGGTTCATGTGGAGATGATGATGTGTGTGTGTGTGTGTTTGTGTTTGTGTTTCATGGCGTGCCGTGAGTGTGACTCCTTTTGAACAGCCCTTTTGCGAAAGAGGATGGAAGGAGAAAGTCAGACTCTTGGCACCGGCGTGAGGGTACGCCCTGACGTCACTAGAACTCAAGCAGTCCACCCTGTTCTTCTTTCAGGAATGGACATCGTGCAGTTTGGGAAAAGCTTCCCGTAATCTTCTCGGATTGTCCATGCTCAATTGCATTGGTGCACAGTCCCCGCTTTAATCAGTGGATTGCCAGTGCAGTGCACGAATGCGTGGCTTGCAGTCACGCAGCGTGCGATGTGAGCAAAAGTGGCATGATGCAGCTTCGTTCAACAGAAGCATCAAGTAGACCCCTGCTTGTGGTAGCTCAAGTTCGTCATTTGATGCAGTAGGAGCTTATTAAGGCACCAGAATGATCAATTGCCGCACCGATAGACGCGCACGCCAACGACGAGCAACGAGTAACGCTGTGGTTGAGGATTCCCCAAACCCATCACCTGGCACTCGATGCTGAAAACCCCGACCAGACGTGTGGCTACGAGTCAGGATCCTCACGGGCTCGCCCGATTGCGTCGCTGCGGTGCATTGGTCCTGCGGTCGGAGGACGGAGTTGGACCGCACAGAAACCTGTCAAATTCTGCTCTATTAGTTAGGACAGTTAAGGCGGCTTCTCTGGTCAGGCTTCGCAGCAGTTCCTCGACCGAGTGGCCATTTGCTTGGCTGCTGATTGCAAGTTCTTTGAGAGTACACACTCACAGTCTGTCTCGGCACTGGCAGTGGGGGTTGCGCTCTGAGAAGCTACAATAGACTAGGGACTAAAGAGATGAGACAGTCCGGCATTAGCCCCAGCTGCCACAAGATTGCAAGCCACGACGCGGTCGGGCTGCCATACGAGCACTGGGAGGCAGGAGTTTGGCTAAGCGGCTAAGCTCGATCTTCAAGTCCTGACTTTTTGTTGAGGCTTGCTGATCCGTGCAGGCACCAGAAGTGATGAGGAGGTTGAACTTTGATCTCCAGAGCTATGGCCCCCAGGCAGGGTTGTCGGAAGCGACGTTCAGAAATACCATACAGCAGCGACGGCTTTCAGACTCGTGTACAGACGCAAGTCATCCCTTCTGGGTGGCTTTCTGGAGAGCTGCGTCTTGGTCGTGACAAACGAAAGCATCGGAGACACGCACACGCACGCAGGCACGCACGCGCACGCACGCGCACCCACCCACCCACCCACCCACCCACCCACACCCACCCACCCACCCACACCCACCCACCCACCCACACACCCACACACAGACACACAAACTCTTTCGAACTCCAGGCAAGCCCTGGTGTGCAGATCTCAGGTGTGTGATCAACACTCAGACTTGAGCTCATTGAAACTCAACCGAGAACTCGCGAGAACATGTTGTATGGGAGGTCTCTCAATAGGCTCAGGTTGCCTTGCTACCAGCAACCTGGCAGCAACAGCGACTTTGAACCATGCACAGCGTAAACAAGAAGGATGTCACAAGCAAAACTGCAGGTACATGAAGATGGCGTCCCATCTTCATATACTAGCTTGCAATCCGGAGCTTCGCTGGCCCACGCCAGAAAGTAAGCCCGTGGGCCTCTTGCACACTCTGAAGGAAAGGAAAGTGTGCCGCTAGAACATCTCGTTGTAGTTTGGGCTCCCCACACACACACTCACAAAAAAGAGCAGCGGGAAACACAAATGGGTCCGGTTCAGGCAACCCTCCCTTTCCCGCCATAGCCTTGTGTGTGAGGGACGCGGAAGGCCACAGAATGGCAAAGTACGAGTCACAGGTTCATGAAGCACTTGTCGGGCTGCAGTTCGTTGCTGCAGAGTCAGTGGTGACTGCTCGAAGGTGCGTATTGATGATGATGCTTTCGGCGAGCCCAGAGGGAAGGACATTTCGGGTGGAGTGTTCTTCCCCATGGCAGGTGCGCTCTGGTCGCAACGCTGTTAGAGTCGGCCACGGGAAAAGAACAGTGCACCTCCTTGGCAAATTGGCGAGGCTATGTCAGCGACCCAATGCTCGCGGCCCGAAACCTGCAGACTGCAGCCGAGGCCGGAGCATGCCGGAGGAATCGACAATCACTCGCAGCGCTTTTTGGTCAAACTCGGATTGTCATCGCATGTGACTCCTGCCACTGGCGAGGTCCCTCCTCCCGGACAGCCCGATAGTAAAGAATTTCGAGCCCTTGTTCAGCCTTTTTTCTCACGTGCAGGCGACGGGGCGTGCAGAGTTTCGGTTCGGCTCGGGCCGAAGCTTCCCCACAGACGTTTCCTGCGTGGCTTCGGGGCTGCGTGCCGTCCTTTGCAGCAAAGTTTCTGACGTGGGCTCGGAGGTGAGACAGTCACTGCCATCCGCCGGGTCGGCGGACGAGTTGCAGGTGCCCGGCTGCGATTGCTTGAGGCGAGTGGCTGTTCTTTGACCAGCTGCTGCTTCATTTTTCATTTCTCACACACGCAAAGACGGAGTGAGAAGAAGAAGAGACAAGAAGACGAAGAGAGTCAGCTACTGTCTCGATGTCCTGGACCCCGGGCTCGATGGGCGCACACCTGCGCTCCTTGGGGTGCGGCAAGACGGCAAGACTGAACAAGAGGTGAGATGTGATTCTTCGACGAGGAGTGGCGGGGACACTTACACGCCCTTCATGAGTGCACTCGGCAGCCTTTGCCTTAGTGGGCGGTGCCAGGGAACCACCAGGTTCGCACCCAGTGCCGGGGAGCCCTTCGCCTGATCGTGACTTGATCAACGCGGCCGTGAATAACATCCACACCCTACATTGGAAAACTTCGGTAGCAGACTACAAGAAAGCCGTGAGCACGAGTTTCACAGAGTAGTGATTTATTGCAAGTTTTTCACCCGACACCTATGATTTTACTCTTCACTGCTTCGTTGATTCGTGTCTGTTCTGCGACAGGCTTGTGTGCACTGCAGAGCGGATCGCAACGGCGATAAGCCGTCGGAAGCAATCGACACCCCACAAGGAGTGACTCGACGAGGGAGCAGCAGCATAGATGGCCGGCTTGTTTGCCTACTGGGAAAGCAATTAATTATTCTTCAGCCCCTCCATCGTGCTTCGGCAGCTGGAAATGCCAGCTACGGGCAAAGCAAAGAGGGATCAGCCGGGCCGCCCAAAAAGGGAAAAGCCCACGACAAAGATCATTGATGAGCCTTCGGCCCGGGGAGCCTCGGAGAGAGACAGAGAGTGATACGTTCCAACTTTTTAGAGTCGGGGCTGGACGCTTGGCAGGCACCAGCAATAAGAGTGACAGTCCCCCCCTATTCGTGTTGTTGCCCCTAGCCTCTGTGTCTGTTGTTCCCGCTGAATTCTCTTGCTAGACGGGGACCTCAAACCAGGAAGCACAGAGTCCTTAGACGAGAGCGCTGTGGTTCCTGAGCTCAGAACGGCAGCGACCGTAACCTTGTTACGTCTGCACGCCCCTAAACCCCAACCGGTGAACTGCTGACCAACCTGAACTCGTGGAGGAGCTCACAAAAGCTGCTGTAGAGAGACATGACAGGAGGCAAACGAAGGCTCAGCTCGGGAGCATGTCAATGTGCTGAGTTGTTCCTAGTGTTGGGTAGTGTCACCTGTCAACACCCATCGGGGATGCTTGAGTGGCTTTCGCATGGTGCTCGACATGGACTACCGTGACCACCACAAAGAGACGGCTACAGCACAGCAAAGGGGGGTCAAGCAGCATCAGAGATCACAGTGTAGAGAGAGTGGGGAACGAGACATCTTCTGAAACAGACGCTGGGACGACAAAGCGCAAGACCAGAGGCAACCGTTCGACTGAAAGTCCCAGGCAGCAGTCCACACAGAGGCCACGAAGGTTCAGAGGCCCAGCAACCCCATCGCAAGCACGACATTGTGTGAGGTTGGCACAACTCCTTGAGGAAGCTCGTCAGCTGCGAACGGCAAATGCTCCGTTGAAGCACAATGACTCAACAGCTGCTATTGTAGTCGAAAGAACTTGCGCTCCCAAAGCTTACACATAGATACTTCGCCAGGTATGTGTGGGATCGTTTTGGGGTGTTTTGATTCGCCAGGCATCAGCTGCGCCAGCGGCTTGGAGCTCGACAGTCCGGTGGTCGTAAATGTGGCAGGCCCACACTCCGCGCAGGCCACGCAAAAAAAAACACATGTTGCAATGACATGACAGCCTTTCCACTTCACTTGTTGCTGGCTTGCGAGCGAGTTCCGAAGCACGCAGACTTCGAGGAAATGTTTGTTCCGGAAACTGGAAGGTCACGCACCTGGCCTTCGAGGATCCGGCAGAGAACGACATGGCCATCAGCACCCGACCAATGCGACAGGCCTCCTTTTGAAGCACTTGGCACCTAGGGAACAGCGCGAACCACACGAGACCAGGAGGTTGCATACGTCAATCCCCCACCTGGCGTCTCCTGGGACGAGGATGGCCCAGGCCTGCATTGGTCCTCTTGCGCAGTGAAGCTTAGCGGTGCCAGAGTCAGAGTGTCCGCCGGCAAGCCTCACTGGCTTGCACCATGCGGAGAACAGCATCCAAACTAATCCAAACTTGTTGGTTCAACGGAAATTCGTGTATTGTCTCAGTTTGACCAGAACATCTTTAGGTTTCGGAAAGGTTGAAGCAAGGGATCTGGTGTGCGGAAAAAACTTCCCAAAGTAGAAAGCGTGTGTCATACTTGATCACTCCATGAAAAGTGGGTCTGGAAAGCTTGGCATTTCGGTGGGTCGTGATCCCTCGGTCGGTTTTGACAGCGACGCCTTTCAGAAGCCAATGGCAGCTGGCAAATGGGCCGGCGGCCCCCTCTGATTTTGAGCATGCAGTAGCATTGCCAGCAGTCTTGCACTGGTTTCGGAAGACTCGTGCTTCTGGGCTGGCACCTTCTGACCCCTGCAAATGCGTTCAGGCTTGATATGCACCGACCTGGACGTGGGGGTGTACTTCAGGCACTGGTTGCCCGCAGATGCCCATTGAAGGTCCAAGGTAGCCCCAGGACAGCGCATGTGCGTGTGTGTGTGTGTGTGACTAGAATACAATACAATGTAACATAATCTTGCACAGTAGCAGAATCTAAAATGACATGATTTTTTAACATATCAGAATGTAATATACAGTATATACATGATACACATATATTCAATACAAACATACAACATAACAGAATATAGTTTCATGCGACATGATACAAAATAGAAACAGGTTACATACTACAGTACAATATAGTATCATTTCATGTAGTATCATACAAAATAGAACAAGATAGCACATCATAGTCTAACAATAGCTAATATAAGACAGTGTAGTATAGTATGATACAGTATAGTAAGACATGCATATACATGCATTTGTATGTATGCATATATATTTTAATGTTTGTAAGTGAGTATGTATGTATGTTTGTTTGTATGTGTACATCCATGTATGTAAACAGGTGCATGCATTAAGACGGGTTTTGCGGTTTCTGCTCGCTTTCTCTAAGCCTCTTTGTCGCTCTATCGTTTTTACTTCACACTCCACGTCTTTGTGGTTGTGCACACCACGCACACAACCACAGGCTATCATGGTGATGCTCCTGTTGTTTTGTATCTGCGATTTTTCTCCCTCTGCACTAGATTCGAAGCCCGGCGAGGCCCGAAGTCGGTGGCAAAATTCTCGTCGGCAGCGTCGAGCCGCAGTGCGATGAGGCGCCGCCTTCCTGCACCATTCGTCCACGCCGCTACGAGAGGGCTGCTGGCAGGACTACCACATCTACCCTGACGATCCCGAGGTCGCGAAGTTGTCTTCGAGATTCGAGATTCCTTTCCAAAGTCGTTCATGAGGAAGCAATCGGTACCTGTCGGTTTCAGTTGTTAGCATGAACTCTGCGAAGTTCCGCATGACACGATGCTGCACGTAGTTGTGATACAAGATTCGGCACAGCTTGTTCTTGGGATCTCAACCTTGGGCAAAGTTTTCAGTCCAGTCAGATTTCAATCGCAGGCAGTCTATCCTGGCAGAGAGTTGTCCACTTTGACAGACCAGTGGACCAACCAGGCGGCCAAGAGTGCTCCAGGATGTGTGCACACTGCCTGGGTCTACAGCAAACCTCGCCAGGTCTACCGCCTGGCCCTGCGGATGCCGTCGCTGAATCTACCAGACTCCCAAAGTGCGCAGGTCGGAAATCACATGAAGTCACCGTTGTCGCATCTGGAATCATTGCGTGCCATTCTCCCATCCAGGGCTGCAGCGCCTGCTACGACGTGACGGAGGTTCCACGTCACCACGTCCAATGGCACTTGCAAGAAAGGTTTCCGTACGGCCGGCAGGATTGGGTTCCCATCTACGACAAGTCTTCCTTGCCAGGCCAGTTCGGAGTCGGCTCGGGCCGGACGTGTGCACACTGTGTGCACACTGTGAAGAGGCTTCTACATGGCCATCGGTACCAGCGGTAACCAGTTCAAAAATGCTGGCGTCGTGGGGCGACTCATGCGTGAGCTGATTGAGGCCAGCACTTGTATAGAAGCCGCGGGACGGTTCTGTCGCTTCAACATCTGAATGTCATCAAGTGGTGTCGGTGGTTGGGGGCTGTCCTGCCCAAATCTGCATCGAGTAGTCTTACGCAGATGGTTGTTGCAATGTTGCTTGTGGCCCTGTCGCCATAGTTTGCCTTGATAATGCATGTGCCAATGCGTGCGTTGCGAGGCCACGGAGGGTGGCCAAGACCTTGATAGCAACCCTCTCGATTTCCAGATGCAGAGGCTGGCTTTCCGATTGTGTGCTCTACCACCGGATGGGTTTCGGGCTTGCGAGCGCGCTATTGTTGGTAGAAGGGTGTGGACCAAGCTCGCATCAGTAAAGCTCCGGGTGACAGTTGCCAAGCAACGATGGAGGGTAGGAATACGACCTTGACGAAGTTTGCATGCTAAGGTCCCTGAGTCAGGAAGCAACTTGTTTTGTCCGTGCCAGTGCAAGCTGTGGAATGCGTGCCGTTTACTTCACTGCAGCACGTATGCCAGGGTATGTACATGGCTCAAGTTAATCGCCACGACGGCCCAAACTGCCGGTTCAATGCTGATGAGAGTGATAAGATGTCACAACAGGGACTCTGATTTTGCTGCAAAAGCTGTGAACGAGGAGGGATCTGGTAAGATTGTGGTCCCTCAAGTATAGGGTGGGTTGGAACTTGAAAGACAGTCTTGTCGTTCCATAGAGCAAGCTTCTGTCAATCAGCCACATCCCGTGACCATTTTGGCTGGTGCGATCGTCTACGGATTTCGTATCGTTCAGCTTGGGGCCTGGGAATATTTGATCTGATCATTGTGTGTCGTGAGTCGAAACGAAGTGGGTGTGTGGAATCAATTTCCTCGCTTAGGCAAACTCTCTCTGTGTAGCAACCAGCTGTGAGCTGAACAGGCAAGAATACAGCTGCAGAGCTCCATCAGGATTCCGTGTGGCGGAAGTATCTGTTCTACTACCTTCTCCCGCAAGCGGCAGAGGCACGCGTCGTGACAAGCAACAAATGGCACAGCTGATATACTTATGTCATGCACGACCGGCAGCCTTGCTGCACCAGGCTTCAGACCAGCGGCTCGGTTTTGGGCTGACCATGGCGGACCCGTTAGGTGAAGAGGCGTTGTTTGAATGCTTCTGCATGGTCCGACTCTTTAGCTCTGCACCGTGGACAGGCTTGCGGCGTGTGTATAGTGAAGGTGGAAAAAGACTCCCAGTCCGGCAAGTTGTGGAAGTCGGTGCGGGGTCTTGCTGAAGCAGATGCGGCGGATTCGTCGCTTTGTGCAATCTATTTGAGAGAAGGGTATGTCAATGCGAGGTGCAAGGACACTATGCTCCAAAGCCCGGAATGCAGCAACATCCCGTCAAACCTGGAGGGCCCCTTGGGCTCGAGCCAGCTCCCTCTTCCAACCGTGTCTTTGCAGGCGCGGACGTGGCAGGTCTTGTTGCGTAATCTAGCATGTAGCAGGCCCTCCCACGGATGTCTAAAGGCGCTCACGCTTTTTCACCTGCCGATCCGCTAAAGCCGTATGCTTGGAGGTTGGCGAGGCTATTGCCATGGCGGACCCCTCAAAGCCCACGTCTACGGCGCGAGGTATGCTGCCAGGCACGATATTGGCCAGGTCCAGGATGTTCTTCTGGAATAGCATGTCTACCATGGTTACAGTGCTGACCGTCTGACCTGGCGGTAATTTGAGTCTCCAGAGATGTTCCCCACTTGCTATACATGCAAAGTCTCTTGACCCGTCAAGTCAGGCATCCCACATTATGTCGACCGCGTCTCGGCCGAGTGCATTTGGAAGGACATGTCTTTTGCGATGAGAAATTCTTTCAGGACCCTCACTTGGTAGAGAAAGATCACGACAGGAAACCTTGGAGAAGGAGACCAGGCTGTTTCAGGAGGCACTGCCAAAAGACATGCTGTGACTTTCGGAATCATTCTAGTCCTCTGCTTATCCCTTCGAGGGATGTAAGCGCACAAGCCCCTGTGATTCCCAGGGCCGGAAAGCCAATCCTGGTCCGCCTGCGTACGCAAGATGCCTACGACTTGCAGCTAAAGCCGTAGCCCACACATAGGTCTTCCATCCCTCTGTCTCTGCTAATTAGTGCACAACTGTGTGCTGGAGTGACAGGGGCGCTTCATGTTGTCGCCGACCCAGTTCCCATTTGTCCCCCAGATGTGGCAGCCTCTTAGGTCATGAACCTGGCCAATGCCCAGCGCCTAGGCGACCCCTTGGAAGCTTGGACAGCATTAATTATGCCATCGATGGGTCAGACAAGAGAACTTTTTCTTATGAAGGATCACCAAAGTTACCAACTCAAGCATGCCTGACAAGCTCCTGCAACTGCTGTCCGCTTGAAGGCACTCAAAATACGATTCTTGGTTGCATTCAGGTCAAGGCGTGTGACTGTGAGTTTCTCCATTCGTGATGATTCACCGCAATCGAGTTTCGTGTAAGGCGAGGCATCTAATCTAATCGCGTGGGGCAGTGGTGGGCAATCGCAATCCCTTCATTCTTACTGTCATGCTTTGCGCTGCGAGGTCACAGCCGCTTGGAAATCCTAGCTCCCAAGGCCACTGGATGCGAATAGCTTGATGCTAGGCGCTTCATCAACTTATGCATGCACACGTTGAGGTGGAGAAGAACACTCCCCAGGCCATCATGTCCGAGGCTGAGAGGGTGGATGAGAGGCTGGAGAAGAGCTTGAGATTGAAATCCGCAGCAGTTCCAAGAGCTTGCTGCAATGCACAACCCAAAGCAGACACATTGGGCGGCTGAGCACAAAGTATCCTGTCGCTGGACACGATGTGAGGTACGAACTTCGTGGATGTGCTTGTGAGACCTTAACATTATCCATGTTCCGCAAGTCCGCAAGACCGAGGTGACCTCATCTGGAGCATGACCTTCATGACTTCCATGCTTCAATCACCTTACGTACGTTTTGTCTCGGAACCTCTTCCGGCTCGTCAGTGTGACTTCTGACTGCAAGTTGTCGGCCTGCAAGGTCCGGGGAGAACTGCGATCCAAATAGCTTTGACCACAATGCCCTCATGCACACCAAAAAGGCCGTTTTGGCTCGCTTGTTTGGGAATACTGTGTGGAACAGCTGTACTTGGAAGACCGTGCATTCTTTGTGGCTTTGTTTGCATGCCTGCATGACCTTGCCTCGTTCCCTCCCTTGGCATTGATCCAGCTGTCCTGTCACCGCATGTTGCCGTCGTGCGTGTTGCAAGTGCGCTTGCTTGCCAGATGCCGTGCCAGAAGTGGGACGTGCCGTGCACACGGGCGCAGGCAGAGTGTTGATGCATTTGGTTCACACCATGCCTGCCTCGACTGCAGCCTGTGTAGGCTGAGCTTATTGTCCTGCAGCCTTCAGGAGATTGGATGGCTCATTGCAACTCGAAGCAGCTACAACCTGAGATGCATCCCAAAGGTTTCAACTGCACTTGCAGGAGGACTTGCATACTTGTGTTGGCTCGTTGATCATTGCAGCAAGAGCGGGACTACAGTAGTGGTGCAGGGAGCGATTTGCAGGGACGTCGCTGCTTCGATTGGCTGAGGTGCCCAGGCTGTCGAAGCGATGAAAGTGAGGAAGAGGCGATTCTCTAGAGGGTTCGATGCACAGTGCCTGGCATGGAAGGAGAAGGCCCCGTTCTCACAACAGTACTCTCTGCTCTGATGATGCTTTGCTGCTGCCACTTCTCTTCGGAGCCTCGTTCTGCGTGCAGATGCGCTTTGCTTTTGTCCGGCAGTGCAATCGAGCAACATATGCATTGCAGGTATCCAGAGGCAGAAGCCCTTGGCATTTGTCCGCCGCTGGGCGCCCAGCTTTTCTGACCGGAGCCTGGCACACGGAGATTCGCTTCGAAGCGAAGCGACAGGCCGCGCAGCGAGTCGATGCCCAGCTCTGGGCCCAGAGACGGCGACAGCCTGGACATGCCTGGACTCTACTACAGGAGGCCCTGAGATCCCCCGGTAGGCCTGGAGTGTCGTCGACGGCTTCCCGAAGCTCCACCGGACAAACGGCTCAAACAGCTGAACAACAACAGGCAGGATTGCTGCAGGGTGTACAGATTATTGGCTCATTTTGGTACGGGCCATGATCGGCCGCTGATCAAGTCTTGCAGGTTCTACAGACCGAAGACGTGGCTGGCCGAAATCTGTTTTTTGTTGTGCATCTGCTTTTTGAGCGCCATATCCTTGTCTGAGACAGACTCTACGTATGCGAAACTCGCACAAAAGCGGCTTCTTTTGCTTGTGCCAAGGTTCTGCGACATTACTCTATACGCTGATAACTACATGGCCACCATGCACCATGACCCGCTGCTTTCCGGCACTTGGGTGTAAGTCAGTTTTGACGGCGGCAGCAGTGGTCAGGCAGTGACAAGCCCACAAACCACGAAGCGGATGGATATTTTGCTTTCTTCCTTCTGCAAGTTTTGCTTGATAGCCAGATGCAACGCTCAAGCAACCCTGTACACTCTGCGCGACCCTAGCAACTACACTTCGAACTGCTAGGAGCTGCTTGAACGTTGCAAGCTCGGTGAGCTTTGTCCACCAACTGTACCAACACCAACTGCACCAACTCCAACTGTTCCAGTACGAACCGTACGAATAATTGAACTGTGTCGATACCCAAGAATTTTACCCACCGTGCTCACACGAATTGTACGAACTGAACGAACACCAACTGTACAAACACCAACTGTTGCAACACCAACTGTGGCAACACCAACTGTGCAATGCGGGTTCAGTGCGGTGCCACTTCGGCACGGCTCTGCCGGACTTAGACTAGCAACTATGCTGCCACCTGCGTAAACAAAGCTGCCAGCACGCAGAATGTCACCCGAAAATGAAAATCAACTGTGACACGTGCCATGTGGGGATAGCATGTGAGGGGGGTTGTCCAGTGGGTGCTCTGACCAGAGGTTTTGATGGTGGGCAGGCCTTGCTGTGAAGAGCTTCGCGTTGTGCAACGGCACGTGCCAAAATAGGATCAATACGGTGCCGACGATGCGACATTTCTAGGGCAGCGAACCGTCCATTTTCGGCCCCAGACGTCACCTCCTTCCTGCCAGAGCCGTAGAGGGAAAGAGGCTTCCCTTCAATGCGTCCACGTCTGTGTTGGCCGAGTGGGCCAGCTTCATGCACACCTCTCCCCGTGAAGCTTTAGATGGTATTGGGATTGTAGCGTTTGCGTCATTCGGAAGAAGACGAATGACTCTGAAGCAGTTTTTGAATGAGCTGCATGCAAACAAGATGGTCCGAATTCTGCAGCACGTACGACAGACGTAAGCGGGTATATCGCCAAGAATTCCCTGCGTAATGAATTCAAGAACTCCCGCAGCCCGTAAGGAAACGGTTGACAGCTTGAACTCCGACTGTTCCCATTCCATCCCAGGGCTTCAGTGGCCTTGCATTGACTCTGTTCCACAAGGTTCAGTCGAGCGGGAGCCGGACGCTGAGAAGGCCGAAGTCTGGTAGCCCAATGGAGAGCTAGTGTAGGTCCTAGTGCCAAGCCATTCCTGTGTCTATGTTGCGCTCCATGTAGATAGGGAAAGCCGTAACGAAAAGCGGAAGCGAGCCCCGGAGGGAGCTCTTCCCGAAGTTGTCAATATCGTTTCACACCAGCGGGCAACTGAGTTCTCTCAGACCGCAACAACGTTGTAGCCTAGTGATGTATGGTGGTGGTGCGAGATTCTCAGTCAAGCTGGTTGCCTTTAAAGGGCGACTGAAGCTTGCTAGCTGCGTGCCAGAAAATGCTAGGTGACGATTCCCGTAGCCCAATGTGCTTTCGTGCGAGCCAGGCTTGAATCGCTTCGCCAGCGCCAACCACACCGGCTTGCCTAGCTGGTTCCAACTGCCAAGTCAGAGGAGGATCCATAAACACTTGTAGTCATCAATTGGTGTCTCAGCCCGCCTTGGCAGATTGCACTGCCATTCTCATTTGCGTTCTCCAGTCCTTCATGTGGCTCAAGCCGGTAGGTTGAACCCTTCGATTCCGTGCCCCAGCCTGCATGCCGATGAGCGGTTACGGCCTAATGCTCAGAATTCGTGACTTTGGTGATGTGAGTCAGTGAGGGTCTGTCGCATCGCACAGAACTGCGTTTCACGGCAAACCTGGTTCTGGTGCTCACTTTGACACCAACGTCGGTGAGCGAAAGACAGTCACAAATCTCCCTCCGATGGGATGGGCAGCCCGTTTCCAGGCCGAGCCTGAACTGGTACCGACGAAATCCGGAGCTCTAAACACGAAATACTCCGAAACGGTGTGCACAGCCGCGGCCGCAGCCACCCATCAAGCTAGACCCAAGACGACCCAAGCAAGCGAGGCTGCTGTTCATGCCTTTCTCCTCCCAGAGCGGAAGTGCCGATCGCCGAGGCCGGGGCGGGGGGTTTGGGGGTCAGGGTTCGATCACAGCAGTTTGTTTGGGGAAAGGGCTCATACTTGGGTTCTCAGGGACGCTCGACCTGGTCTCACTGCAAAGTGGGCGAGAGTCTCACTGTGCATGTGCTGACAGAAGTCATGGATAAATCCCACAATCTTGAAAGTGTGTGAGAGCCGCAGCGCAAGAGATTCGAAACTGGTGGGTGGACAGTTTGATGATGATGATGTCAGCATCCTCTTCGCGGCATTCAGGTGGGGGGGTCCGGCGAGCGCAAAGCAAGAGCACGTGATGTGTGGCCAACTCTTCGAGCGACTTCTCAGGGGACATAGCCTACGGCCCCTCTCCTACATGCCTACTATCACCTTCCCTAGCCGAAGCTAACCCCACATGCTTCCGTCAGTTCAGCAGCTTCTTCGAATTTTTGGCATTCGGGGCAGAGTTCACACACTGCCAGGGTCGTTTCGGGATTTGGGGGGTACCGCTGTCGAGTTTCAACAAAACATCTCCCCATCCCTGTGGTGTCTTCCCATGCTTGTCGTGCAGCATTCGGAGAGCAGTGTTTCTCAATAACTCGCATGTGAGCGGGATGGCCTTGCGCGGGTGGGCAGTGCAGAACCCATGGCATCTAGAGCTATGGATGGTTTTTCCAACAGGAGCGTGCGCTCGATCGTATTTGAACAAATCAGATGTCAAACTTGAGTGTAGCTGAGCTCGGAGCGGCGTACCATGGTGCAGGAAGCAGAAGTGTAACAGCTCAAATCCCAACCTGCAGGTTCCGGATTCGCCCTCATCCACATCTGCCAGCGGCCCAGTCAGGAGGGATGCGATGCGATGCAATCTGGTGGTGCTGCGTACGAGATCTGCCCATGTGTTCAATGCCTCAGGTCCAGTACGGCTTGACTGATCGCAAGAGCTTGGCCGAGTACCTCAACCACGCCAACATCCGCCTGGTCCGGGCCGAGTGCTCGCTGGGGATGTGGCAGAAAAATGCCAGCTGTAATGTCCCATGTTCACATCATCTCACCAAGTCAGACTTCGCTTTAGCTGTCGCTCGCGCCAGATGGTGTCAGATTGGTGGTTCCAGGTACTTGTACGAGCTGCTGAAGTCGAAGAACCTCTTGCCCAGACGCCAAGAAGCCGACCCAGCCTCAGACGATGCGCTTGTTTGCAAGTCTTTTCCTGCACTGCACGTGCGGCGCATTCGGAAGCCGTGCGCAGGAGGAGTGGGGCCTAGTGACGCATGCAGAAGTGAAGGCGTGGGCCGCCGGAACTCGGGATGCGATGATCTGCTCGGTGTCCCACGCTTGGGAGAGTCGGGAGCATCCGGACCCATGCGCCCACCAATTAAAGTGCCTGGTCGACGTCGTGTCTCTCTTCGATGCCGCCTACTTCTCGGATATTTGGTTGTTTTACGACTATGTGTCTTTGTTTCAGTTCAAGCGGGAGTCGGACGCAGAAGAAGAGAGCTTTCGACGGTCGATGCAGGCCATGCACGTCTTGTACGCCCATGAGTGCACCCGAACTTTCCGCATAGAAAACCTCACCCCGGACGATGTCTGGGAAGAGGCGAAACATAATTCTGAGTATCGAGTGCGTGTGTACGACGCAAGGAGCGCGGTGGTCCGAGATCGTCCGCTCAAAGAGCTCGTCGCGAACCGGGTTCTTTACGGAACGCGCACCACCAAGGCGGAGGTTGAGTGGTCCTCCGCCCGGAGCCATTCCGAACAGAACCACTGGATCGATGCTCCCGAGTCTCAACAAAGAAACGAGGAAGAGAGTGAGGGTGAGCAAGAGCCAGAGCTGCTGGGCAAAGTGCCCATGGCTCCGGAGATTTTCGAAAAAGAAATGGACTCGGCAGCCTTCACCCATCGGTCTGATGCCGAAGAGGTGAAGAAGCTGCAGTTCAAGGTTTCCTCCAGAAAGTCTCCGAGTGCGAAGAGGCGCTCTTCGAACGTCTGCCCGAAGGGCAGCTGAGGCGGCTGGCCAAGGCCCTGCCTTATTTCAAGAAGCTGAGGGTGCTGAGGCTCCGGGCATTTAGGGTAGGCCGAGCAGACGCTGAGGAGTTCGCGAAGGTCGGGCTTCGCAGGTACAAGGCAGTCTGTGCGCGCATGAGCTGCACGCCAGGCGCTAGCACCGAACGAAGCGATCCGCGAGCTCGAGATCGTACGTGGCCTGAGGTTTGGCTATGAGCATGAATGTGGTTTTCTATTGGAGGCACGGGGGAGTCAACAGATCTGACTTGAAGTGAATGCGGAAAGTTTTTTGGGCTTCAGACAGGTTGGTGCTACTGGATCAGGGTTGTTTTTTCCGCGCGAGGCGATCTGTGAAGTGTTGAAGACCAACTCCACACTCACCAGCATCAACCTCGAAAGCAACCACATCGGCGATGAGGGTGTGGAGGCGCGGTGGGCTTCAGGCGGGTCGGTCAGATTTGCTCGAGCAGGGTTGACTTCCCGAGTGAGGCGATTAGCAAAGCGCTCAAGACCAACTCAACCCTCACCAGCATCAACCTCGCATGGAACCGCATCGGCGAGGTAGGTGTCAAGGCCCGCTGGGTTTCAGGGAGGTGCTGCAGCAGGGTTGCTTTCCCGCATGAGGCGATCTGCGAAGCGTTGAAGCGCAACTCCACACTCACCAGCATCAACCTCGAAAGCAACCGCATCGGCGTGGAGGGTGCCAAGGCCCGGTTGGGCTTCAGGTGGGTCAGAGCTGCTAGAGCAGGGTTTGCTTTCCTGAGCGAGGCGATTGGCGAAGCGTTGAAGACGAACTCCACGCTCGCCAGCATCATCCTCGAAAATAACAACATCGGCGGTGAGGGTGGTAAGGCCCGGCGGTGCCAGGGATTGGCACAAGGGGTCTGGTGGTTCCAAAGGTCCGCCAGCAGTAGCTCCCGCTGTCTTGCCGTTTCCCTGCGAGGCGCTTGCCGAGGCTCTGAACAGCAACACAACAGTTTGCGAAATTGAGCTCGACCGAAACAAGATCCCCGGCGAGTGCGCGCAGGCCTGGGCGGTTCGCAGGGCTCGTGTGCTTGCCGAAGCTTTGTCCTCCACAGGCCCTCGGCCAAGCTACCGGGGGAAGGCCCGGCGTGGTCCCGGAGAGAGAGGGACTTCTGAGGGTGCGCTGGCACGGCGACTCCTGCGGCACTGAGGTTGAGCTTTTGGCGATCTCCGTGAGGTGCTCGGGGCCAGTGGGGCAAGCCCGCTTCCACATCATTCTCAACTTCTCAACCTAAACAGACCCTATAAACTCCTAAACCCCAAACCCCAACAGCCCTAAATCGCACCCTCCGGCCCAAGAAACTCCCAGCATCAAAAGCGGTCGAGGCCAGAACCCCGGTGAGCTTTGCACCGGTGAGGGCAATCTGGATGGAGATCATGAGGAAGCACCGCAAGCCGGCAGCATCTTGCCGCGCAGCATTGCGGAGAAGATTTGCAGGGGGGCCACTATAGCACATTGTGGTAGGTATAGATGCTCGTATGTATATATATATATATACACATATACATACATACATACATACATACATACATACATACATACATACATACATACATACATACACACACACATACATTGTCGTATATTTCAGAATAGTAGAGTGTGTTCAAAAGTAGCATGCTTGTATATTACAGCAGAAAGCTCTCCAAGAAAGTCAAATCATCCGTCGGGCACTTGTCCGGACCGCCCTGCGGCAAGCCCTGATCGAGTCTGCAGCCCTGGACCTGGCAGGTGCGGTTTGAATGATTTTGAGAGTTTCGGGATGCGAGTCTCGATTGGAGTTTGGTAGCTTTCATGCTTAAATTCAGCTATCCTCTGCACCCCTCTTGCTCCGTAAGTATGGGGCACGAGGGGCCAGGGCAGTGCTTTCTGCAGCTCTCGGATCGTTCCATGTGGGTAGCTTTCTAAAGTAGGGTCCCGTTTGGGGTCCTCAATATAGTACGGCACCCTTATAAAAAGGACCCCTAAACCCTAAATCCCATAACCCCATAAGCCCTAAACCTTAAAAAGCCCCCAAAAAGGGACGCCAATTTGGAGAGCTACTCCCACGTGCGGAGTGCGCAGAGATGTCAGCGTCAGAGAGCCGAGCAGAACACACCGGTCGACCTGCAGTCATTCATTTTAGGGCTTTTAGGGTTTTAGGGTTTAGGGCTTTAGGATTCAAGGTCTAGGGTTCAGGGTCTAGCGTTCGGGGTTTAGGGTGCAGGGTTTAGGGTTTACGCTATGAGCCCGTGCCCAAACTGCAGCGAAACTCGAAACTGCTCAGCAGGTCCGAACTCCTGGCAGCCTGGTGGATCCCCCCCATGGAACGCAGAAAGTAATTACCCTCCAAGGAATCCCAAATTATGTCATAATATAGGTACCTTATATACTGTAGTACATCATAAATATACACTTCCCAAGTGATGAGTCTTTGAAGCGGGAAAGAGGCTCGGCTCGGAGACTGCTTTGACGCTCCGACAAAAGCGCCCCGGCAATGGCCAAGAGGGCCGGGGACACTTTTTTGTAGGGGTTTAGGGTGTAGGGTTTTGGGCTCAACGAGATGAGGTAGTAGGAGAACATGGAAACCGAGTTCCGGGTGCCTCCGCTCCCTGCGTGCTTCCGACGGCGCTGCGACGCGTCATTAGCGCCTTCCGGAAAAGAGTTCGCATCCAACTTGTGCACTTTGTGCCTGAGCATGCCTGAGCCCTAAGCCCGAAACCCCAAGCCCAAAACCATTTCTTTTCCCAGAGTTCCCGAGCCCCTGCAAGAAAAGCTTCCAGGCTCATAGATGATTCTCAGGAGTTTGGGCGCGACCGAAAGCTTTGGGTCGTTCGAGGGTGGCTTCCGACCCGAGCCCAGCCCGAACCTATCTTCAGTCCAACAGCACCAAGCCACAAAATTCTGTTAAAGGTTATGGCTCCTGTTTTAGATGGGTTTAGGGTTTAGATGGGAGGTGAGTTTAGGGTTTAAGGTTTGGTCCGGAAACCCAGCAGGGTGCTGAATCACTCAAGCCCCACAGGACCCCCAAAACCGCAAATGCCTTCGAAACCCGACAGCGGCCCGGACCTCCTGAAATTTCCCCCCCAAAGCTCAAGCCCTTAACCCTAAACCCTAAACCCCAAGCCCTAAAACTTAAAGCCCTTAACCCAAAACCCTAATCTTTTTACTTTGGGGGACCGGTGCCGGCGGAGTGGGCCTTAAAATACAAATTGGGTTCAAACCTGCGCCAAACTGGTAGCCGTTTGTGCTCAATTAACATCTGTAAAGTACGTGGAAGAGCGTGCCCAACATGTCCACGTCAAAGCAAAGGAAGAATCTGCAACAGAACCAAGATCCAGCAATCTGCCAGCCAGACCAACAGACGTGTAAACAGCGTGAAAGACTGCTTTCTGCGCAGCCCACAGGTGCGTCCGAGGCAGATGGGTTCCGTTGGCTTCGCCAGGGAAATCTTTTGGGCACTTCATGGCCCGTGCTTCGAGAAAGTTTCTTAGTCTTAGCCCATCATTCGATCGATCGACAAGTTGGGTTTTTCAGCTCATAGTCGTCATACATCGCAGCTGCACACATCCTGCAGACGCGGCCGATGATCTATCCACAGCCAAGGCAAAGACCCGATCAGGGATTTCTGGAAGACGTGCTTGGTTCACAGATGTGTATGAAGCCGAGGTAGTTCGGGTCACTCATCTCCAGGCTACGCATTGACTTTTGATCTCTAAGATTTAAAAGCATGGTGCTGCAGTGCTGTAACCGGCTTTGTAAGCACTTACTCTTGGCGAGCTCGTCAGCTCGCAACTGCAGGTGCATCCGACAGGGTTGCTATGACATGGCCATGCTGCTGTTGAACCGTCCTGTTCACATTCTGACGCTGCAACGCCCGAGGTATGCAGCGTTTCCACAAGCCGACAGCTCGATCTTCTGTTGAGACTCCTTCTCCATTGCCGTGCCGCACATGTAGAACGGTAGAAGTTGTTTCCGCAGCTGACACTTCCAGAGACCCTGTCCGAGTGGAGGAGGTACAAAGTGTGCGGAGGGAAAGGGCATACCGTATCTACGAGCATTCGCCACAGATGCTATGGGGCGGACACAATGCACTTGTATGGCCAGTCACGTAGCCGAACGTGCTGGAAATGATGCATCCAACACCTCACCACCTGACCATCCAACATAGTTTGAGCTACCGAGTTGGAGCAGGTACCAAGTTGTTTTCCTGTGCGAGCCAATCATGCGTCGTGGCCAGCAGCGCCATGCGCCCTGCGCTCCTGCCGTGGCGACATGGCAAGCAGGGCATGTTACTTTACCTTAGGGCCTTATAAGTGATATAAGTTGGAACTCACCGCCCGTCGCGCCGTATTTGCAGACTTGCGCTCTTGTGCTTAGGTCCTGCTATGCATCCTCCTGGCGGCAGACTACAGTCGCGGCTTTGTCCAAGGTGCGACTGCGCGCTTCTGTATCCTGTGACCCAGCCTTGGCCCAGGCCGAGCTGCGCGAGCTGCATTCCAGCAGACGACCGTCGCACGGCAGGCGCATCAGCGGGACTCGGTTGGTAGTCGAGTCTCGGGCACTAGAGAAGAAAGCAGCTAGCAGATTGGTTAAGCGAGGCGTTGGCGAAACGATACTTTCCATAGGAGCGGCAGAGCCAGAATTGCGAAGCAGCGGTGACAGCCGTTCCATGATACGTTCACAGAAGGCCCCTTTGTCGAAGCTTCCCCGTGCTTCACCCTGTTCCTTGATGCTCCGGAAACTGCACTTCCAAAGCAGGGATCACACACCCACGACAACTAGTCTTCGCGTAAGGATTGGCCGACTGTGCCGAGGCTTCTTCGTACAGCTTCGACGCCCTCTCGCTGTCCAGCACAGAGAGAGAACGAGTCCTCACCGAGCTGGCAGAGAGGCTGCTGGAAGGGGGTTTGAGTGTGCTCAGGAAGGGGTGGCTTCTATTTTCCAAAGTTGCTGCCCGAGCAGACTGACGGTGGCAGTCCGTATTTATTGATTCGTAAGGGGTGCGAACATGAAGTCACCGGCTCACCGTGGCAGAACCCAAGCCGCCCACGTCCCAAGGCTGCAAGTGGCCAAAGCAATGCAGGTGGACTCGCACAGGGGCTTGAAAGCGCATGTCGGGGTGCAGTGTGTGCTGGCAGGAAGCTGCATGTTGAACCGTGCGAATTTGGGACAACGTGTCTTTCTGGGGACCTTCAGAAAGCATTAGAGTGGATACCCAAATAGGCCAGGCCAGGTGATAACATCGTTGCAGCTCAAGCGGAAGAGGTGCCCGCGAGCAGCGTGCAAGCTTACCTGGATGACTGCCTCCAAGCCATGCCGTGCCCTAGCTGTTTTCCTTTAGGAATGTTCCTTTCTCATGGCTTTAAACAGACTCAAGTGAGTTCTCAAGTCGACACGTCCTGCCCTCGGTGTACTGAGCCAAGGCCGTCGAATCCGTACCACGGCCCAAGCCATGTCGTTGATATCCTTCAGCCCGGTGCTGAGGCGGACAACACAGCGGACGTAGGACATTGAAAGGCCTTGTTCATTGGTGTGCCATGCCTGTGTGCCGGATGACATCTGCTTGACTGTGGTGACCCTAGCTTTTCAAACAGCTCAGGTTTCTGGTGACATTGCTGGAAGAGACTGGCTTGGATGCTTGGCAGATTGACTAGATAGGAAATCAAAGAAGCATTTTGTGCTCGCCGGTTGCAGGTATGCGTTTGAGCCTTATGCATCTGCAACAGCTTCTGAATGCTGCATGCACAATTTGTTTGAAACTGCGGGACGCGCCCGCAAGGACAAGGTGCTTTCGCCCGAGTCCCGCGCTGCGCTTTTTCTTGCTGGCGCTGCGCATGTGCCGCAGCTTTGACATACGAGGGTTCAATTGATGGAAAAGCTTTGTTGACTGCAAGAGCTCAGCGATGGGAGGGCAGGTAGGAGAGCAATTCCTACCTTTGTTGTTGGGTCGGTGCACCGTCGCACATCCTCTTGGTTGTTGGGCGATTGGAGAGCCGTTGTTGCCACCTGCAATCACCTGCATGTGGAAGGATGTAGACCACACCGGCACTACGAATGCCTTCCTCGTCAGCCTTGGCCACGCGTACGTGGAGGCACCTGGTCTGGCAGCTCGCGGCGACCTGAGCTGAGCCTGACCTGAGCTGCGAGGAGATGGAGGATGGCGTCGGCCCCATGGAGAGCCACTCCGCTCGCCGTGCGGCGGCACTCCTCGAGGCCTCAAGTGCTAGAAGCGGCAGAATGCGCTGCTACGGTGCTCACACGTGCTCACGCAGGAGCGGCGCCTGCGTTTGTCGCCAGCCCCTGTCCTGCTGCAAGATGTCGTGAGGGCGACCATCCACGGGACAGATTTGGCAAGGCCGCGGGAAGCAGTCCATTCGCCAAGCCAATTCAAGCATTGAAGCAGTAAGCTTCAGCAAACGTCGACTCCGGAGGATGCAACTAGCGAGACATGTGGGAACCGATGTGGAATCTCGCCACTGCCAGGCATCAGCAGATCGTAGATACCTTTAGCGCTGAGATGGAGGCCTCCCAGAAGACAGTTCTCGACAGCACCTTCTTAGACAGCAATGCTGCAGATGTTGGGCTTATGTCCGGACTGTCAAGACTGCAGGCAGCAGTGACAGAAGAAGCTGTGGCTGCCTTCTTCTCGCTGCAGAGCCCGCAAGGAGCTGTTATCCATATTTTGCATGGCCTTCGCGGAAGGGACTTAGTTCAAAATGGATCTGCGTTCCGTTAAGCCCAGGCGAATCCCATGATTAACCCGGCCAAAGTCTGGTGAATGACTCCGAGTCTGAGTGTAGTTCCAGCCGCATCACTGGACACACAAGCACATTGTCTTGCCAATTGCAAACCTGTCAGAGACTCTCTCGTCACCTACGCGTGCAGACACATGTCCACTGCCCCCGTATGAACTCAGCGCTCTCACACACCCTCACCCTGGCTGAAGAGTCAAAGCCGTAATAGCATGAAGGCAGCACACTCGGAGTCCGTTGCTATGGCACAGCTTCCAAAACATCATGTGCCCTGTGCCGCTGAGAGGACAGCTGCTTCTCCAGCTTCTTCTCAAGGCTTGATCGCACGGGAGGAGCAGAGGGCAATAAGCCGAAACCAGACATCGGAACTAGACGTCGCTAGCCGAAGTTATGCACGATCAGCGGAATTGCATCCGTGAAGGCCGGCGATGTCAGCAACCCGACCAGACCACTGGCTACAGCAAAGGCATGGAACAGCCAGGTCTACCAGGAGCTGCACGGAGTGACAGAACTTCCTCTTACAGAGCGGCAGTGTGCCGTCTTGGAGGAGTTTTACGCAGAGGGTGATCAGGCTTTCATCATTCGATACTCAAGAGTGGCTTGGAATCCCTGTTGGGATGTCATCTTTTTCTATTCCGGGCAGGTGTTGTCTGCTGGTGGCAAGCCCAACCCTCTGCATGACCGCCGCTCACTGCAATGTGTTTCGGGATGGAAGCCGGATGTTGCCATCGAGCGTTGGACATGGGATGGTATTGTTCCCAAGCGCTTAAAAGGGAGTGCTACGCCCAAACCCAAAACCGTGTCGTGCCGTTTGCACTGTGTGTGTCCTCGCATAAAGACGAAAGCTGGGGGCGGGCGTGGGTTAACTGCATCGCAAAGCTCACCATGTCCGTGGTCGCAAGGCAGAACAAACAGCATTCCCAAGTCCTCTGTGGGCTTCATCAAGTGGGCGTCGCCGGCATGATCGGGAACTATGCTTACTTGCACTGAGCTTGCGGTTGCGACCATGAGTTTGCAGGGTACTGCACTGCGTAGACTGCACCGGGCCGAGCACTGGGGCTGACCGCAAGAGATTTGCCAGGTGAAGTGTATCTTTAACCTCCTGAAGGAGTTCCTGGTTCGGTGTAAAGACGCCGGAGTCTCCGAAGTTCGGCCAGAAGGCCTTGACCCCACATCACGTGGATTGAAGATGCCTGCCCCATCTTTGCACCCGAGGCCTCGACGCTGTGCTGGCGCGCCTCGATGAAAACGCTGCATCCTTTGCCAAGGACGGGCCAAGCATGTTCCAACGTTGTCCCGCAATGCAATGCCCAGCCTCAACACGGGAACATTCTTGTCATCCGCGCGAGGAAGCTGCCCAACTGGAGGCCTTTCCTTGCCGACTTTGCTTGTCAGTGAGCTCTTATTGATGGCTTGACACGAGGCTCCCGGGTATAATATAAAACGAAAGCAGATATCATCATGAAAACTTCTTTGGGGGCGCATTGGCTTTCTTCCTCGAGGGTCGGAGTCACGCTGCATCGCGATATTCGAAAGAGGACTCGACACATCTCTGCTTAGGCCGCAGATGCCGCCAACAAGGTGTGCCTGGGCAGGCAAGTCCCCCTTCAACCTGGCTGGGCATGTCATTCCAGTCATCGGTGTCAGTTCGCTTGTCTGTCATCAGCTGCATCCAAGGTCCGAGATCCACTCCGGAAGGTAGATGCTGAGACGCTGAGACTGAGAGTTCTAGTCTCTTGATCTTCCAGCGCTTGGGCTTCGAGCTAATTTGAGCCGAGCCAAGCAGCTCACAGATTTGAAACTGTGTTGTAATATCTTGTAATGCGACGCTGCCAAGCTCCTTCCTGTGTTCTCAGCAAGCTACCGCGGAGCTGTCATTGTAGTTTCGAAGCAACGTCCCAACAGAGCAGACGCTGAAAGCATCAGGGCATTTTCGCGATTTGTTGAGGGCTTGAAAAGGCATTCTGCGCAGGATGCCGAAGCTCCAATTGAACGATGCCTTGGAGCTGCGGCAGGCTCATGGCCCTGATTCTAGTAGTTTAAGGGAAGAGGGAGGGCACCACTCAATGGCTCAGAAATCATCCATTTGCCAAGCTGCCGAGTTGCACGTGGGGATAAAGCCCCGTTTCCAAAGGCCGTTGATGCACAGGGATGGCCTCGGCATCAGGCTACTCATGCAATGCAATGGAGACAGAGAAGTCAAGAGGAGGGTTTGTTGTTTCAGGAAGTGCTGAAACGTGTGAGGTGTCAAGGAGCCGGTCAGAGTTCTCTGCCCCCACAGCATATGATGTTGTAGTGAAGTCAGTCCAGCACGGAAGTAAATAATAGGCCGATTGACGTGCTCCAAGTCTGTACTGACGATTCCATTCCGCCAAATTCTTCACATTACCCGCATACAGGCAACACTAGAGAGTACCCGTGCGTTGCTGCACCGAAGAACAGGAAGAAGTTGCTCAGGCGTAGTTTACGGTGTGCAGGGGAGATGTCTTCACAGGTTCCCCAAACACATGTCAACGTGACTCGACAGGCCTTACAAGATCCTGGGTTTGACATGACATAACCGCGAAAGCTCGCAGAAGGAAGCATCGGCTGACTCTGCAAGCTAGGTGTACCTGTCACTTCTGGAGCCCAATTTCAATCCCGGTGGGTGGGGTGGTGGCCAGGGTACCTTTTGATGGAGTTAAATCACGTCGTTGCACGAGTCCCTGGAGAAACGCAGCCGAAACGATATGTAACGATGCTGATGACTCTGGTGGCGGCGTGGGCGTGCGGTGAAGGAGGGGGAGAAGGCGGTCGGGCTAGCACAGTTAACTTCGGAAAGCACTGCTGGTGTCATATCCAGACAGGTCACGGAATTGCATCATCTGCCTGTTTTGCAATCGCTGCATGCAGTTTGGCATGAAGCCATGATGGGCTTCTGCTGTAAACAGCAGCGTACGACTGGAGTCCAGCAGGGCCTGGCCGGTGCAGGGACAAAAACCCGAGCGAGGGAGAATGCAGCGGAATTTATGGCCCTGTCAGTTCCAGCTGATTCCGGTGTCTGTGGCCTGCATGGAGTCTTCAGCCCAGGCCCCCCGACCGTCGGCGACATCGCCGATGAGGGTCAAGGTCAGCTGCACCTTTGCCGTCGTTCTCACCTGCGCATCCGCAGTTTCTCACAGGATCCGGAGTCATTCAGCTCTTTTGGCTCGAAGCCGGCATTTGCCGCCATGGCTGAGACGACAACCATGACCACGGCTGAGGTGCGGTCTTGGTGGTGAGTGTTTCAAGACTGCTCTCCGTCTAGCGACGCTTCAAAATGCTTCAAAGACGGCTACTGGGCGCAAGCCCTTGTAGTCAACCTGGGTTGGTGATCGAGGCATGCATTCCGGTTTCCTCCGCAGGAGGAAGTGGCGACCAAGAAGAGAAAGGTCAGAGCTTGAGCGCAAGGTCTCGCTTTGGGGCGGGCGGAGTCAGTGCTTCAGAATGCTTTAGAATTTCGGCCGTAGGCGATTTTGCAGATCTTGCTCATGTTTCTGCACCGCAATACGTCGTCTGGACCGCCCTTTGCCGCCCTCCCTGTCTCTTAAACCCAGGTCGCCCCCTGGCCTACGCTGTCGGCTGGAGGCAGTCACAAAGTTGCATGCGTTGACTTCGCGTGACCTTCTGAGTGGACAGAAAGGAGGAGATTTCAAAGCAAAGCGATGCAAAGCGCCGAGAAGCGCCGAGTCCAGGCCCTCCAGGCGGAGGCGGAAGCGGCGGCTCAGCGGGCGGCCTCTTCGACGGGCTCCCGGAAGCTCATGAAGAGACTGTCCCGGTGACGAACCAGCACGTTCCACAGGCCACCGCATTGCAGAGCCCTAAACCTGAGAGTTTCAGACACGAACACGGACTCCAACGCTGGCTCCGAAACCTGTGCCGACAGACTAGGCTGGCAAAATTGATCAGCGGTCGCTGTTCGTGGGCTGGGAATAAAGAAAGTCTTATGTTACCGTTGTTCCGATGCCATGCTGTAAATTCGTGCTTTCTGCAGGTCAAGAAGCCAGTTTCTCGGCTTTGCTTGTGAACGAGGTTCCAGCGCTAAGAGTGATGCTCGTTCATCCTCGTTTGCGTGCCACTCCATCTTGATGCCCTTCCCGTACCTCTAGAAGCAGCTGTTCACCATGCAAGTCTGCGTTTTGCAAAAAGCATGTGCAACCTTTGCCTGGGGTTTGCGGCGTTCTGGTGTGAGGAGTGTGAGCCGCACAGCTTTGCTGCCGTCAGGTTACTAATGTCCGCTGCTTACACCTCTTGAAGAAGCACACGAAGTCCAGGACCGCGATATGCAGTGACCCAGTGCAATCTGCATCGATCATTTGCAGTGCGCCCAAACAGGAGACCCAGTTCTTGGAGAGAGCGCGTCACGGCCTCGGACACTAATCCGTCATGATGCCTGACTTGTTCATGATTAGAAACGTGCAAAATCTGCCTGGCGACCCATGAGGTCATCACTCGCAACATTGAGGAGGCCACTTATCAGGTGAAGGCCGACCAAATCTCGAAGATTGGATGGGCCACAGTCCACTGAAGCATGTGCATGGGCAGTGCTCTTGAGTAGCTCCATACGTCTCGGAGAGTGTAAGCGTGCAGGAGTTGCGGAAGACGATCGCAGCCAAATCGACTCCCAAGGTGGGTCCGATTCTCCGGACATGTTTTCCTCGTCTCACTTCCTGTCATGCGGCCTTGTCTGGCCTCCAGGAGAGGCAGGCAGAGTTCGAGCGCTTGGCCAGGAAGGAATCGGAACCTCGGCCTTTCCTTTTCACGAGCATTTTTTTGTGTTGCTTCTGTCGAATGCGAAAGAGGGATTGCATCTAGTGCTTCCCATTTCAAGCTTTGGACGAAAGCTAGGAACATGGCTGCTTAGAGAAAAGGCTGCATCGGTTCACGGCTTGAGCATCTTTATTCTTCAGTTTAACGAGATACCTTGGTCCTGGCTGGGTTCTCCTAGTTGGTTGAACCTTCGCCAATCAAAAAACTGCATTGAACGATTTCTGTTCCACAGATGCTTTCCGGAGCTTGCCTTGAAAGGCGGGTTTCTCACCAACTTCGTGATTCTGGATGTGTTCAGGGAGTCTCAGATAAGAAGAACACCAGCTGTCTTGTAAAGGGATTTCGTGAGAGGCCCAAAAAAACGGCGGCAGAACCGCTTGCCTGACAGCCGTTTCGTCTCACTGGGCAATTGTTAAGCATATTTTACCCGGCAGCGCCACAGGGTTTCTGAAGACTGATCAGGAAGCATAAAGTTTATCTGCTGCTGGATCCAAGGACTGCAGCTCTGCACGGGATGGTGGATCTCTAGGCAGATCGGACCGATGCGCCGGCAGCAGCATGTGTCTGAGGGCTAGCGACTAGATTCGGCTGGCGTAATAGAGAGGAATAGCGGTTTGGTGAATGGGGAAAGTCTGAGCCGCTCGGCTCGGATCACATGTTCTGCCTTTCTGCCTTTCCACAGGTCGCTTCGGACGCGGCCAGATGCAGCCTGCGTTTGAGAAGGCAAGAGTAGAAGCCTCCAAAACTCTTGCGAAGGGAGAGCAGAGCGAGGAGAGGAGAGGCAGTCTGCTTTCCAGGTGTGCGTGTGCGTGTGTGTGTGTGTGTGTGTGGTCATAAAACTAAAACGAGTTTGTGGATTGAGTGTGTTTTTGATTAGGATTTCTCGGGACGCTGCAACGAAGCTGCTACCTGAGTTCATGAAAAGCAGATATTGGCCCTCTCGTAGTTGCGACAGCAAGAGGCTAAGCCCCCGACAAACACATCATTGCTGTATGTTGTTCCGTCCTCAGAGCAAAGGTGTCGCTTGATCGTGTAGGTTTCAGATTCAAGGACCCTGAGTGAAACGTCGGTTTCAACGATAAGTGCCAAAGACTTGAATGTGTTACACATGCTCCCGTGTGTGTGTGTGTGCAGTATGTATGTCTGTCTGTCTGTCTGTTTGTCCTTATCTGCCTGCCTGCCTGTCTGTCTGTCTGTCTGTCTCTGTCTTTCTGTCTTTCCGTCTGTCTGTCTGTCTGCCTGTCTGCCTGTTTGTCATTTTCTGCCTGTCTGTCTGTATCTACGTATATCTGTGCATGTAAGTATGTGTATGTATGTATATATGTGCGTACGTAGGGCCCAAATTGCCTCAACAGCGAGGAGCCTGTGAGGAATATTGCTGTGCCCCAGCACTGCGCTTTGCGGTGCGACAGAGCCATACCCTGCGCGTCTTCTCCGCCCTGGCACAGACGTGCGAGCCTTTCTGCGGAAACTCCAAGTTCCTTTGGCAGACAGGCTCGTCAACAACGCCAACAGACTTCACGTGGGCGATCTGCCCCCCAAGGGACACAAGATCGCACTCAGATGGGAGGTGCTCTGGCCAGTTTCTTGACATGCAGGTTTGCAGGTTATCTCGCCGTGCCAAGTGTGCCGCCGAGTCCCGTGAATGATAGCATTGAAGGTAACGGAGGAAAAACGCCGACTTCGACGACATGGATGGACTTAGCCAGAAGGCCCTCAGCAGCCTCAGCAAGGAACATTGCAAACGCCCGGGTCCACCACGGAGCCTCCATCGTTTTGCTTTCGATCCAAGACTTGCGAGTACTAGTAGCACGCACGCCTGGAAACTGAGCGTCGCATTGAACGCGAAGCCATTGGAGGTCGGGATGTGGTGGAGAGAAATGCCAGATACTTCAGCAGGTTGTAAGCCATGAGGCAGGCGTTCATGAACCACCACCAGTGATGGAATGGACCTTCACGGCAAGCCTCATGGGGGGGGGGGGTAACAAAGAAGAGATATTCAGCACGGTGACTTTTCATGAGTCCAAACAGCAGCAGGTGTACTGGAAGCACCACCTGCAGTAAGGTTTCTCGACCAAGCCAGAAGACCCTGCTGTTCACAGGTACGCGCTGTCCTTTGTACATGGAACCTATACCGCAGGTGCTGAGGGAATGTTGAACAGCCGCTATTTAGCTCCTGCCACTCTAGCTGACGGTCCAGGGGCAGTCGGACGTGACAGTCAGGCCACAAATTGGGGTGATGACGCCAGCCAGCTGCTGATGCTCGGCAGAGTAGTCGGGTTAGGGCAGTGAGAGTCCGTCACAACGCCGGCAGCTCATTGCGGGCGACAGAGCAAGCAGGCACGATTCACGCAGCTGTGCATCGCAAGCGTGACAAGAAGTGGCTCTTTGCAAGCAGTTCCAGACGCTCAGAGACCGGCTTGGATTGCTCCGACACACGCCGAAAGCGTCATGACCTAGAATGCTTGCATGTTGTTGCAGCTACATCTGCGACCAGATCAAAGTTGCCACTAAGGTTTTGCAAAGCAGGTCGTTGCATCGTTGAGGTCGGCTCCTGTTGCGCCACTGCTCACGGCACGCATCAAGGTACGTGCTGTGATAGTTCCTGTCGGTATTTGAATGATTCCCATAGCGTGTGTCTCGCCGTTGGCTAACGAACGAAGGCCCCAGTGGCCCCGGTTGCTAAGACCACGTGTCATCACCTGTGAAAGGTGCGCATCAAGAATGTCCATCCTGTCGATCTTGAGGTCCCTGGTGAATCGATTGGAAATGACTGTGCGAGGAAGATTGAATCTGTAATTTGTGTTGCTGTCATACTCGGAATGGGTGGGTTTCCAAGCTTGGGGAAGATCTTGGGGACATTCGGTACAGCGCCATCAAGGAATTGGCGAGGACCAGTACAGGCAAATCCGACCATGCTGAATCAGATTCCCGGTTAATAGCCAAAGAACGCCAAGCTTAAGAGCACACAGTCAGGAGCAATGCCTCCCAAAGGATCCAGGCCCCCAAAGGTGTGGCAACGCCCAAAAACACTGCAGCACCAAAAGCCAGAAGGGTCACAGCCACCCACCATGCTCAGGAACATGGCCGAGAAAGTTTCGATGAAGAAGCCACAGTCGCTCCGGATTTCTCCCCCGTCTTTTCACCCAACGATCTCGGTCCAGGCTTGGAGGATCAAGAGTTCGCTGACCCCTTGCAAACAGTGCAGAGTTCCGAGAGACAGCAGGGCCACCCTTATCTCGAGGACTGCAGATTCGATAGCTTTATCGTGGTGGGGGATCAACGGTTGGATTTCTTCCAAGGTCGGCAAATATACGATGGCCAAGGGACGAGTTGATGGAGGCCCTAAGCCGACTCCAGCTTTTGGGAACAGACCAGCTCTTGATGCAATTGCCGGGGGGTGGGGATTGCAAGTAAACGCAGCAGCCAGCTAAGATCGGCGAGAAATCGGTAGGCCAGCTGGTTGCTGCATGTTATGTGTTGGCACAAGAGTGACTCATGCCACCCACACAGACCAGAGCATCACGCCGCGCCAGAGAGTTTCTCAACGCAGTGTCTCGTGCTCAGCTGGTCAGATTTTCCAAGCCTTTCAGATGTTTTCTTTGAATCTACCAGCACTTTATGTCCTACTACCGCATCGCCTCTTGCATCGCATTTATGGATACGTGCTCGACTGTTTGCATAGGCAGTACTATCCCCTCGCCGCTCCTTTCCACCAAATTCTTTTGCAGAACTCGAAATCTTCTGCAGGCCTGCCAGGTACCGTTTAATTACCCGTGGAGTGGCATTCGCAGGAATCTGCAGTGCACGCCCGTTCTTCACATGTCGGCATGGCTGCAGCGGTGCAGGCAATTCAGGCATGGAGGAAGCGATGGAAGTTGCCGTTGCGTTTGGAGCCTCAGCTGCAAGAATGGGTCCATGCACAGTGGGGCAAACATGTTGCGGCTTGTCAAGACTTTATCCGGTAGGTATGGACGCCCCCAACCTTGCAGCAGGAATTTCGGTCGACACAGCGCCTGATACGCGGCCCAGCCCATCATCACCCGCTCGCTGTTTCTCTGTTGTCCGGTACATTACCATTCGTTGCTGTTGCGCACAGTCGGAGACAGGTCAGTTTTTCAACCGTGCAGGAATGGCTCAGCAACCATTTTGCGCCATCTCCAGCAGGACTTGAAAACGACCTTCCAGAGCTGAAGCAGTACCATTGGAACCGAGGCCTTCCATGTGCAAGGGTCCTACCCGAAGGATCAAAGCAGCTCATGAGGGCGCAACCGATTATTGATTATTGCATACACACTGTCACACTGCTGGCGCACCAAAGCCAGTTCATTTCTGTTCACAGCACTGTTTTCCTGGATGCAGGTTTTGTTTCACGAAGGTACCACGTGTAGCAGTTTAAGATCGATTCTGTGACAGGCGCTTTGAAGCAATCTTGAGGTTCTACATTCAAGACATGGATCCCCAGGACGAACACAAAGAAATGATACAACAGGATCTCATTCGCTTCTTCAACTCAGTTTCCACATGTCCGAACTTTGCTCATCGTTACATTTGCTGCTGTGGCTGCTACAGCAGCGCTTTGCACAGGGCATTGATAGCATTACATTTCAGGTGGATTGGAATGTTGGCAAGAAGGACCTTAGAATGTTCAAGGGACGACAACGATTTCGTAACTCTAGGAGACATGCTCTACATGTGCGACATGTGATTGAGCTGACACAATTTCTGTTAAGATCGTCCGACTTCAAGGCGGGCCTTGATCGTTTCTGCAGATTCAAGGTGCCAGCATGGGATCACCTCTCGCCCCAGTGCTTCGTGCTTCAGTGGCTGCTGAACAACAATACCTTCTGCTTCGCAGCTTCAGAGGCCAACTTCAGGAGACGCAGGCCTTCTACGAGCTTTCCGATGTGCAGACAATAGGTCTTCTTGAACCAATCCCAACTCCAGGCTGAGTGGGTACAGCTGCCTCTTCAGTTGAACTTCCACTTGCCCATTGAGCTGAAAACCGTTTCACACGAAGGCTCTTAGGATCAGTCGCTTCGACGACGCAAGGAACTATTACCATGCAACAGCCTCATGACATTACGACCTTCAGCTCGCTTCGATCCGTGGGCCCCATCACAGCCCACAGCAGCCATGTCTGATTTTGCTTCCGGAGCTCTGAGTATCAAACACCATGCCAGACGATTCAGGTTAGTCCGACCACAGGTGGAGGACTTAATTGCACTCTACCTACACAGAGGTTTCAGTTTGCAAGATTTGAAGACTCATTGCTCGCTGCTTGCATCTGTGAAAAATCAGGTCAGCACCACACCCATCTTTCTCAGGTGATTTGACAGCTCAGCCCGTGTCAGGAGACATGCGCAAGACATATCAACTGCCGTTAACTCAGACCGTCTTCGCTCTCGCCGAGTCTAGCCATCCCCGCTAACTTGAGGGAACATGTTCACTCGGCTGTTGAACGAAGTAATTCAGCACATGGCTTGCCTCGCCCCAATTTTCTTGAACATCGGGTTCATGTTCATGGACGTCGCATCGCAGGGCGAGAGGTTCTGGCCCTTGCTATGGGAGGAAGCCATAGAGGACACCAAGGGTAGAGTCGGCAACTCCTGCAGGCTGCGCGGTCTCTACCAGATTCCTCCGAGGGTCAGGGTGGAGATGCAATGCAGCTTCACGGGATGTACGCACCTGAACTTGCAGTGATTGCTCGACTTGCCAGCGTGTCTAAGACATGGGTGAAGCCCATGCTGTTTATCGCATGGTCAGGTCACATCTTCAATACCAAGGACATACCGAGAATGGGTGCTAAGTTCGATTAGCCGAGGCGGATGAACAAAAACTCTCAGGAAGAAAACGTCCTCCTTTCCAGCCAGTTGCTGTATCAGGTTCATCCACTCGAAATCATACCACCGATTCAACTTGACTGACAATGCTCAGGAATGAAAGTGCGTCTATCAGATCAGTTTTGCAGAATGCCTTGCAACAACAGGATTGCTCGAGTCGTGCACTCAGTCCATTTCAAGAACCTACAGTTGGTACATCATAGGTTTTGGTCTGATCGTGCATACAGGAACCGTGAATCGCACCCGCTGACCCTCAGACCAGGATACACAACGTGGCCCGAATTACACTGTTTGCACTTACATGTTTCGATTGCATTATAGGCAGATTCCAGTGAGGGCCTCAGATCAATCATATGCAACTGTTGCAGGTTATGGCTAAGTACCTGCATCGGAGCAGCCATGAAGAGGACCGCTGCCGGAGGATCGTTGCGCAAGATGGCAGCCACTAAGGTTGCACTTCTCATGCCGCTCTTCAGATTCCGTCGACCATGTTAAGAAAATGTTATAATACCGGGTCAACGAGGTTACGGGACGCAGGCCACAGCTGAATTGATTCCAGCTGCACCGCTCAGTCGCAGCGTAATGCATTCGGATGCGTGCATGCATGATGACACCTGACAGGCAGGCTCGAGTGACTTTCATATCCAAGAACCCAAGGGTAGAGGCCATCAGTCAAGTATGGAGTCAGCCAGCTTTGACTTGGATTCAGATAAAGAATCGATTTCGGACTCTCAGGAGTTGCTGAAAGCATCGGAGATTGAAACCTATTTGTCCTGGATTTCAGCATCAGAGCTTTGACGACGTCAGTTCATGCGAAATCTGCGACAACCTCAACTCAGGGCAACAGCCGACTGTCCCATCCGCTGATGTTGGCGTGAACCCACCGGCTCGAGAGCCTCTTAGGTCTTCACTAATCGAATGGCTGCGACACGCGATCTAGACGGTACTTTCACATTCCGAGGCGTGCTGAGCTTATACTTCAATGCTAAAAACATCATGGTCATCAGAGCGTTTCGGCTAAGCCTCGACGCATGTTCCGCACCACGTTACAGCTGCTGCAATATGTGTTGCTTCGACTGGAACTTTGGCAGACTGCAATCGCATCTTTCCCCTGAACAGGGTGTGTGTGTGTGTGTGTGTGCTGGCGCCTAAAGGTCTCTGGAGAGATGCGTCGCTTTGCCAATTTCAGCAGCAGGGGGTGGCAGCAGGACACGACTCTGCCACCAACGAAGACACTCTACTTTCCCTGGTGATGCACGATCTGACCAACCGTTTGTACCTGCACCTTGTGACATAACGTACCATCTTCGCTGTGCATTGATTATCTTTCCAAGTCCGGAATGCCACATGTTCAGAAGCTTTCACGCCTTGCTGGATGAGTGTGATGTTGCATTGCATCGTCATAATTGAAGCTGCAGGTTACCAACACTCAGGCTACTCAAGTTCTGACGTTTTGGCAATAGCGGCGAAAAGCCTGTATCACCTTACATCCACCGTCTCCGTGTGTGTCTGTGCCTGTGGGGGCGGAGGGCGCACTCACTCGTGCTGCTGTGTTCTGTGCTTTGGGACGGATTTTCCGATCGGCCACAGGCCGCGTTCGACTTGGATGTCAATGAACTCAGCACCTCGGTCTCAGCTTCTTAAGTCTCCTGCGACAACTAGCGGCAATATCGCGAGCTGAGCGGCAGAGTGCCACATAATGAAGTGTTGCGCATGTTCTTCGTGGCAGCTGTTGCAAGGCCATCTCGTCACGACCGACAGCGGTGTTCACATCATTCTGAGGCTCGAGTAGGTCTGCTAAGTCAGAGGATGCGGGTGATGCTGCGGCTGTATGGCAAACCCCAGCCGAGTTTGAAGTTGACCACCAACCTGATGCGGCACAGAGCTGGCATCAGCACCGCTCTGACATGCTTTGAATCTGTTTCAATACTCGTGTCCACCAGAAGCCTGCAAGTCCTCGCTTGCCTCGCATGATGTCCAAGCGCTGCAACCATGCTTCGTGAATATGGCCTCGGAGCCGGGGACAGACTCGGGATGCGTGCTATTGGAGTCTTACTAGTCAGTTCTGCTCACTGCCCCCAGACGAAAACTGGGACACGATGACTATGAACATATTGAATAATTATGGGGGCCAGCAGCTATGCCCAATGAGTAAACGCGGGCACTGACTTGTTCAGAGAAATTCGGAACAAAACCATATCAAGCAAGACTGTTGTATTTCGGGCTGAGGACGAGTCTGTGTTGCCCAAACTTCGAGGACTTGCGGCCATTGGTTGGGATTTGATTTCGTCGTGTGAGAATCGCACAGAAAGGCCCCGCTGGTCCTGGGTAATCCAGGCATTGAATTTCTGCAGCAGGTATGTGCACACTGCATGCTGGCCGCGGAAGGTCCATCGGAAGTCGTTAAACCAACTGTGTACAAAGTTCCGTGACAGACTGCACGGCTTATCACTACAGTCTCGTTTTCGGGGACATCCTCCAAGGCCTGTCGGACAGGTGTCAGTAAATCTTGAACACTGTGTCGCATGAATCGCCAGAGCTGGTGGATGTCATCGGACTTGCCGCTTTGGATGCAGTCTGGATGCAGGGACAAGCTTGCGCACCCTGCGAGTGCAAAACCGGCCCGAAGCAAACCTGCAATAAAGCATCGGACAAGGAAAAGCAAGTCTGCTGAATGTGGCCACTGTACCGACGGCCTTCTCATCGACTCATCCTGGACTGGAGACGAGTGAAACTGAGAGAGCGAAGTGCACCATGCTTTCAGCAAGCTACACCCTGCCGGCAGAGCTGCTTGCCTCCGGCACCTATGTCACGCTTGTAGCTCCGTGCCACTTGTGCACAGGTGACGAGCGAGTCTGGTAGCTCACCGCATTTCCACATGCGAGCGTCAGCACGTGCGAAAGGCAGAAAGAGTTACTGCTGCCGCTCCTTTGCACAGCCACCTTGGTCGTGCATGATTCTGTTGAATTACAGAATTGCCTGCAAGCCTGCCGAAACCTGCCCCAGCATGCGGATCAGGTTGTAGCGCCTCCGCCACGGGCAACACTTGGGCCTCCCAAGGCATGCCGGCTTGTTGTTCAAGTCAGCCATCTTTACTGCTATCCAGCGAGCCACTTGCAGGTGTCACCTGGCAACACGCCCTGTGGCACTCCGTGCACCACGCCGCTCCAGGCTGCGGCCAAGGGAAGAGGTTCTGTCGGAAGATAGCAATTTATAAGTTTAGGCTATGAAATCAGGCCAGGATGCCGGAGCTCCGAAGTAAACACAGACAATGAAACAGTTTTGTCGGTCCGAGATGGAAGTAGCGGTTTATACGAAGGCTGAAGAGCATGTGCTTCCGTTTTATGCACGTCGCGCATGCTGAGGGTAAGGCTTCGCTTACCTTCGCGAGCATTTTGCAACAGGGTCTGTCGCTTGCAAATGCTGAAACAAATTTCGCATGTTTTTTTGCATCCTTTGCCGCCTTCACATCAAGAACTTCCCGGAAGCAACGCGATCCTGCACAAGCAACGCACACCCCCATGCACATCACGGGGTAAATGCTCAACTACTTCTCATCAGAGTGGTCCCCACAGACATGATGTTAGCATTTTGGGTTTGTCGTGTCAGGGCTTGCTGGGGTTTGTGCTCCGAATAGTTCGGTATTCTTGTCTATACGGCCCTTGCCCTTCACTCTGTCCCGGCATGAATTCACCATGACGAGCTTCATTGGGCAGAGCCCCTGCAGTGGATCCCTACCTTCAAAGCTGCTGGCCCGAACCACAATGCGGGCAGCCGATTTGTTTAAAACCCAGATACCAATGATGCGTTGTCTGGCAGGACTAAAGTCTAAAGCAGGCAGCGGCATGTGTCTGCAAGCACCCGCCACACTATCGGAACGTTTGCTGCCAAATCATGTTACGATAGCTGAATATGAGGGGTTTGAGGTGCGCTTATCAGATTGAACATATTGGGTCCTGGCCTGTGTTTAAACAGAAATGGAAAGGGGCCTCTGAATTTGAGGGAATGCTGCTAAGTCTCGCCTGTGCCGATATCAGAAATGCTGTGTGGGTAACCTGATCGCGCGCAGAAGCCACAGCTCCCAGATGCTCCCAGTCTATCCAGCATCTGGCGTATCAAGAAAGAATCGCATGTAAAGCTGCCGTCGGCCGCAGTACCTGCCTGCAAAGAGGATGTTGGACCTGCAAGGCAAAGCTACGACTAATCTCATGCGCCCTGCTTTCGTCGCTATCCGGTTTGCATGTGATCCTGAACAATACATGCGGGTTTGCTGATTTCGCCAGCAAAGCTGCGGCACTCAATCGCCTGCACTCTGTCAGTACCTGCTTTCACTGGCCTGGACAGTCAATCGCGCACCCCCTGCTTTTCACAAATGGTGCGGTTGGTGGAAGGATCCATTGTTTGCTTGTCTGCACCTGCCGGTTTAATGCGATCACATCTAGGTCAAGACTGGCCGCCGTGCAACTCCCAAACCTTGAAGCCTTCAGGTGGAGCGACCACCGGAGTATCCAGGCTCGTGGGGAAAGGGAGCATTGGCTCGGAGAATGGAGCTACAGAGAATCATCGGGTGGCAGTGGTAGTAGCACGCAGTGATAGTAGTCATCGTAGCCATCGTCGCAGTAGTGGTAGTTAGTAGTAGTAGTAGTCGTCGTCGTCGTCGTATTAGTAGTGGTAGTGGTAGTGGTCGCCGTAGTAGTA